GTGCTCTCCTATTGTTAAGATATGTTTTCCTTTTACATTGTAGGAAATTTCAGGCTGATAAAACTCAAAAGCAACCACAATTTGATGCAAATAGATGTTTGTGACATAACCTCAAAATAGAGCGCTGACACGGAGAAGTAGAAAACTATGACAATCAAGGAGGCCATAAACGCGCCCTACAATTGTAGGGACGACTGACGATACGGGCCTAAGACACTAATGGGGATACAGTGGACCCCCGATAATCTGGCCCCTGTCTAACCCGGCACCCCCTGTAATCCGACATGTCTTTGAATATGTATTACATACATAGGTATTTGACAATCTTCGCTAATGTAGATCACGCAGGTGTGAACAGGTTACAACTTGTATGCGCCACCGCTATCGTGCTCGACGCGTAACATTGTTTTACTTAGTTTGAATTTGACTATTGGTGATAGTGGTACGGCCTAGCGTGCGTTCATTGTTTACTATTTATTCATTGTGTATTAAGTATAGTACCTAGTAATGTCATCACAAACTCAGAAGCGCAAGCACAAAACATTGACATTAAAGAAAAATGTGATATTTCAGACCGCTTAAATCGCAATGAAACTTTCAGTAGTTTAGCAAATGAATACGTCGTAGGCCGATCTACAATTTATGACATTAAAAGAAATCACGAGAAGATCAATAAGTTCGTGTCAACTACTTACTGCGGGCCAGGCAAGAGACAGACACTCAAGAAAGCTGAACATCCAGAAGCTTTGTACATGTGGTTTCTTCAGGAAAGAAATAGGCACGCACCAATTTCAGGACTCATGTTGGCCATTAAAACTAAGTTTTTTTTATACGGAAATAACAAAAAAAGATGATTTTGTGGCCAGCAATGGAGGGCTAGAACGTTTTAAAAGTCGTCATGGCATACGTTTAATGACTATTACAGGAGAGAAACTTTCTAACGATGCCACCTGCATAGAGCCCTTTAAATTAAGATTTTTGCAAAAGGTGAACGATTTAAATCTTGACCCGTCACAGGTGTACAATGCAGACGAATCAGGGCTTTTTTGGCGTGGGTCTAACAAAACTTTCGTTTCTTGTAACGAAAAATCCGTACCTGGACGAAAAGTAAGTAAAGAGCGTGTAACCATACTACCATGTGCTAACGCTGCGGACACACACGCGCTTAAGACGATGGTCATTGGGAAATCTAATAAACCACGGGAATTAAAAACATTGATTTACCTGTATACTATTACGGACAAAAAAGTGCATGGATGACAAAAGACCTTTTCAAAAAGTGGTTTGATGAATGCTTCGTACCTGAAGTTAGAAAATGGTTAAAAGATCATAATTTTCCTCAAAAAGCGTTGTTGCTTCTTGATAACGCTCCCGATCATCCGTCTAACAACTGAGGATAAATGCATCACTGCGATGTTTCTTCCGCCAAATTGCACTGCACTGATTCAACCAATGGACCAGAATATCATTCAGTTTGTCAAGCAAGACTATAAGAAAAACCTATTTCTGAGAGCCGTATCAATAGACCAACCAATAGAAAAAACTTTAAAAGAATTTAATATGAAAGGCTTGGTTTTTGCTCTTTGTCAGTCGTGGAATGCGTTACCGTCATCAACTATTAAATCGTCTTGGAAAAACTTATGGCCAGATATAGTCACCACTCCTAGCAACGGTCCACAAATCAGTGTTACTTCGGAAGTTATAGAACAAGTCGCTACTGAAACACAGATAAGTCCGGAAGATTTGGAAATCGTGGAATGGATAAAAAGGAAAATGTTTTTCTTGAAATGTCTGACGAAGAGATTATAAAAGGGGCTTCTAATTATACAACAAACAATCAGGAAAATAACACAAGTCACAGCACAAGACGCAATTAACGCCTTTGAGCTAGGTTTACAATGGGCTGAAGAGAATGGTACATCCTACAACGAACTTTTACTTTTGAGAAGATTGAGGAACAAAGCTCTGATCTCGCGTTATAACAACCTTAAACAAAAAAAAATTGATGAATATTTCCAAGCTTCATAATTTGATAAATTCATTAATGATTTTGATTAATAATTCTTGATTATTTTGCTACATATGTATGTGCATTTATGCTTAATTTTATAATAAAACGTAAGCTCTCTATTGTTATTTAATTTACTAAATTTGACATACATAAACTATGTATGATTTGTACTTCAAAGTACATACATATACATAACATATTTAATCTTACCATTGGATATGTAATTTGTCGGATTACAAGGTACTCTTTTGTAAAACATTCCGGACTATAAGGACACTGCCCTGCATAATGTTTGTCGGATTACCGAAGGTCCACTGTATTAGTATTGCAGGATAGCTGACTGTTATGGAGCTTTAAAGCCATCGAGGGCGAGACCGGCCCTGACCAAGGTGGAGTGGTGCCTTAGTATATTCAATAAATCGGCGTGATATAAAAATAATAATAGTTTCACTTAACACAAGGAAAATGCACAGTGTTGCTATTTTTTATCCACTGCATCATATATATGAGATGTGAGTTCCAATATGGCATCTTCCGTTGACCTCCAATCTCTGAATCCGTACTAATTATTCGATATTATGTTATATACTTATTGAAAAATCTTGTTAAACGGATCTTAATAATTTTCGACAGTTTTGAAATCAAGTATATTTGTCTGTAATTGTTTATATCTCCTTTCGTTCCTCGAGTTACTAATAAATAGTCATTGAGCTACTGGCACGACAAATTATGACTGGCTAACCTCATGTATTCTTATGTGGAATTTTGAGTTTTTCACGAATATGCTGTAAAATGTTGGTTTCCAGTTTAATTTACAACATTCACTTCTAAATGACCACTGTACGTCATTATCTTCGCCAAATTAAAGGTCATCCATAAATGCCTTTATTGATCTTGTATTCCTTATCAAACCTTTTTTCGAAAAATGCGTGGGTGTCAAGTTTTAAAGGTGCTCGAATATTTAATAGGTAGTAATAGTACTAACATTATGTTTACAGGGTATTCCTTAATGATATGCGAATATTTAAGGGTGTGAATCTACATGAATAATTAATGTTAGTTTGCTTTATAAACTATTGTCCAAAAATGTTTCCTTACAAAAACCCGGGGTGTGGAAGTTTTAGGAAAAAAATGGAAATTAATTAATATTTTCAGAACCACTTCAGATATTTCACTGATATTTAGTACGAAGTGAAAGTTAATAAAGTTGCATATTTTCAATGCAAAAATAATTTTCAGCTTTAACAGTGGTGTGTGTACGGGTATTGACTTCGATATTATTAAATAAAAATTATTTTTGAATTCCCCGTTCAATTTAAAACAAATGATCGCTCTTGAATTGTTTTCCTTTGATGCGCCTAAACCGTTCTATAGTCTAACTTGCAAAATTATTATTAAGTTAACTGGAAAAATTAAACACATTAGGGGTAATGAACAACAACAACTGATAACATCAACATAACATTAAAACCAACGAAATGATTACAAAAATTGTTCACTTAGCATGCATGCTTCCGCCCCCTGATGGAATTGCACACTCGTTGAAATATCCATAGAGTATTACTTATTCTATCACAAGCTGCAAATATTCTTTCTCTTAATTCATCTATAGTGTTAATGGGACTTGTGTACACTAGTGTCTTAAGATAGCCCCACAAAAAGAAATCTAAACTGTTGAGGTCTGGGGACCTTGGTGGCCATTCTTGGGGCCCACCGCGGCCAATCCAACGATTTGGATAAAGAGTTTGTAAGTAATTACCGCTACACTGAAATGCGCTGGTGCACCATCATGCATGTACCACATATTGTTTCTTATTACTAACGGAACATCATCAAGCCGCAAAGACAACTGTTGTTGAAGAAAATTGAGGCAAGTCTGTCCGTCAAGTCGTCCCGGCAAGAAGAATGGGCCAATAAAGTGGTTGCCAATCATTCCTGCCCATACGTTAACCGAAAATTGGTGTTGGAAACGGGATTCGGTTACGGCATAGGGATTTTATTCTGCCCACAAATTTTAAATGGCATTTCGAGAAAAATTTGCTTCGTCCGTGAACAGAATCATTGATTCAAATTGCGGATTTTGTGCAATTTTCTGAAAATACCACTGACAAAAGGTCACACGCTTTGGAAAATCAATGGGAAGTAATGCCTGTACTCTTAAAATATGGTAAGGATATAACAAAAAATCCACTAAAATTCTCCAAACAATTTGATGGCAAATATTTAAGTGTCTAGCGATCTTCCTCTTACTTGTTTCAGGATGTTCTTCGACTTCGTGCAGTACTGCTTCCTCAATTTCAGGTGTTCTCACACTTAGAGGTCTACCTTCAGATGTTTTTTTCGAGACAACGATGAATATTAGAAAAGGTTCGACTATCTAGCAAAGCACGATCGGGATATCTCTGGTGATAAATCCGTCTGGCTTGCTCTCCATTACCGTCGGCAATTCCATATACGTAATGCATTTCCGACATTTCTGCATTTGAATAATTCACCATTATTAACAATATTTTAAAAACTAAATAATCAAAAAGATATCACAGCAAACAAATTTGAATAACAGAGACTTGTCAGATGTCACAAGCCAGTGACACATTCCAGAGCAACTAGATATTTATTGCTAAATTGCATTCTTCAATTATTACATTTTCTCGGACAATAGAACGTTTTTTATTTTTTTACTCAAAAATGGCGTATCGAAGGAAAACAATTCATTTGTTTTAAATTGAACGGGAATTCAAAAATAATTTTTATTTGGCAAAAAATCATTGGCGTACCATTTTAAAGCTAAAAACTATTTTTGCATTTAGAAATATGCAACTTTATTAACTTTCACTTCGTACTAAATATCAGTGAAATATCTGAAGCGGTTCTCAAAATATTAATTTCCATTTTTTTCCTAAAACTTCAACACCCCGAGTTTTTGTAATGAAACATTTTTGGACCATAGTTTATAAAGCAAACTAACATTAAGTTTTTCATGTAGATTCATACCTTTAAATATTCGCATATCATTAAGGAACACCCTGTATATGCATCTTTCTAGATGAAAATATAAACATAAATATTTATTCATACATTCAAACTGTAATATTAATGCATACAAAAATAACTGTTAAACTATTTTTGACGAATCAAGCCATTCGAAGGAACTTAAAGCTATGACAGTTCTTGTCGATTCTCCTCTGTGTCTTGACTCTCATCCTCCCCCATGTCATTATCACTGCCGTGGACTTCTTTCATGTGGTTGTCCAAATATTCTCGTCCGGCAAAACATTCAGAACACATCCCACATTTTATAGTACTGTGTAATCTTTGATGAATACTCAAAGCATAGTCTGTTGCGAAGCCTCTACCACAATCTGTACAGATGAATTCCTTGGCTTCTTCAATACCATGTTTGGATTTTAGATGACACCGTAGTGACACCCTTTGCCTGAATCCCTCATCACAGTGATCACAAACAAACGGCCTTTCATTAGTATGTTGCCTTCTGTGGGTCTTCAGCGCATATTGAGACGAGAAACCTGTTTTGCAGTATTCGCAGATGTAAGGTCGCAACTTTTTGTGAGTCCTCCTATCGTGGTCCCACAAGTCTCCTTTAGTGAAGAAAGCCTTTCCACAAGTCTCACATTTGAAGCTTCTCACGCCACCATGCATTTTATTTTTATGCAAGGTGAGTTTGTATCTGCTGTTGAATTTTGCGCCACATTCTTCACAAACAAAAGCGTTTTGATTGCGGTGTTGGTAAAACATGTGTGACGCGAGACTTATGGCATTCTTGGACGTAGTACCACACAAATTGCAAACTTTCGGTCCAGACGAATGCATAAGCATATGTTTTTTGAAATTGTCTTTTCTAGTCTCCGTATTGCAAATGTCGCATTTAACTTTGTTGTGTTTCAGGCTGTGTTGATAATAAACACGCTTGTCAGAAAATGACATGTTACAGATCTTGCATAAAATTTGTTTTCGAACTCCTTCGGTCCTTGAAAATTCATCGGTGTTATCAGCAGCAACATTGCTATTATCACTGTTATCTAAGGGTTCAGACTTAACTTCAACTTTTGGTGTCATGTATTCTGGAATTTCTAATGTTCTTGAATGATGAGTGTCCTTATTGACTGACACTGTTGAACACTTTGATGTCAAGGTTGAAGAATTATCTAGGTTTGTTTTTGGATTTGATGTATTTGGCGTGCCTTGTTTCATTAAATATTCTTTGAGGTACTTGTACGCCTTGAGGATGCGCGTCTTTATTATCACTGATTGTTTAACATCTTTAGAGCATTGCAAGCAGGAGTATTTCGGTAGACCGTCGTTTTCAGAAACCTGAAACATTTGCAAAAAAATGGCGTTCAAGTACTTTGTACTCCTCACTGCTTTGTTATAGAATATGCAATAGCAAAAGTTTCATCTAAATATTCTTATGAGTTCGACTCGTTTCGACACATCTCATAGAGAATGGATTTCCATGTCCATCAAGTGTCTATAATAAATCGATTTATGGAACCTCTTGGAAGTCCTTAATTTTTGGGGACATATCAACTTACTTTACAAACAAGATAACTATTTTTCTACTTTTTGAGTTGAGTACATTATCTCTCTTATACCTGTTACGGATAAAACTGACTAGTTTGATTTTTAATTCCTAACTTTGTAGTTGAATAACCATTTTCATACCAATGCAATGTAACCCCATTTTCCGAATTGATTTATCGAGTGTATGCTCGCTCGAGATTTCATATCCTCAGAGTTTGTGGCAACAGTTTTTAAGGAAGCAATGCTGATGTAACGAATATTCGCATTTGCATTCGCAAATATTTGCATGTTTCTTGATACTCGCATTCGCAAAACTCGAGCGAATATTTTGCAAATATGAATATAAATAAATATCAGTTTTGTTTTACTAGAAAAGCATGTTTTAATAAATAAAATACGTCATTTTTCACATATTTTTCTTTGGTGCTGTAAACGGTAAGATATTTCTCATTATAAAAATATAAGTTTCTTTCGTTTTGTTAATGAAGTGAGGCAATCGAGACAACGATGAGGCTGTCACCTGGTTACATGCCCAGTATGTATGATTGTTTGGCGGCTCTACGTTACGTAGGCTTATTTTCACACGAGCACTGCTTTGGGTATATTCTGGTTGAATATGTTAATCAACGATTTTGGTCATGATACGTTTTGGATGTTTTTGAAGCTTCTTAAGAGTGTATTGTGATAGTTGCTTAGGATACTAAAATTGTCGAACATTGTAGACTTCAGAGCGTATAATCATGCATCATGCGCAACATCATTGTAATTACGGTCAAACAGTGACTTTAAAGTGAAGGAAGTACTGAGTTGCTCAATGCAGTGATGCATGCCCGAGCCCTGTATTTTCTCAATATATTTCATATAGTTAGGATAGGTTAGCATTGAAAAGTGTTGCCAATTTCATCAATAAATGCTTTACTTCAAGTAAGCCAAATATACAAGATCGCTAAGTACAGCCATATCATATGCAGTGTTGCCATTTACACAGTCTAGCTGTGTAACACTACTGGTAGCATGGCGAAACTGTAATAATAATTCCACACATTAAAACTATTGCGCACGTACCACATACATTTAACAGAAGACAATTCTGATAATTCAGTCATTATAACTTAGAGCTACCCTCCCGTAAGATCTGATTGTTCTTGTTGACTCTCCTCTGTATCTTGACTCTCATCTTCTTCCATGTCATTATCAATACCGTGAACTTCTTTCATGTGGTTATACAAATATTCCTGTCCAGCAAAAGGTTCGGAGCACACGCTACACTTTATGATAGCATGCTGCTTTTGATGAACGTTCAAAGCAAACTTTGTTGCAAAACCTCTGCCACACTCTGGACAAATAAATTCCTTGGCTTCTTCAATACCATGCTTGGATTTTAGATGAGAGCGTAGTGACACCTTTTGTCTGAATCCCTCATTACAATGATCGCAAATAAACGGTTTTTCATTAGTGTGCTGTCTTCTGTGTGTCTTGAGCGCATATTGCGAGGAAAAACCTGTTTTACAGTACTCGCAGATGTAAGGTCGCATCTTTTTATGAGTTTTCCTGTCATGTTTCCACAAGTCTGCCTTAGTGAAGAAAGCTTTTCCACAAGTGTCACACTTAAAGTTTCTCGTGCCAGTATGAACCTTATTCCTATGCAAGTCAAGGTAGTATTTCGTTTTGAATTTTTTCCCACATTCTTCACAAATTACGTTTCGATTGTTATGTATATAACGCGTATGTCCACGAAGACTCTCTGGGTTCTTGAATGTGGCGCCACACAAATTACAGACTGCTGGTTCAATATCAGAGTGCAAAAGCATATGTTTCTTGAAATTGTCTTTCCTAGTCACCTTACTGCAAATATCGCACTTCACCTTTTGATGTCTAAGGGAGTGTAGATAGTAAGCATATCTGTCAGAGAATGAGTCATTACATAGCTCGCATTTCAAATTGATATGTTTACGAGTAGTATTCGCTTCGTATCTAATTTCGTTTACAAACGCATCACTGTTCTCAGTTGCTGCAAACGCATCATTGCTATTTTCACCTTCACTTAAGGGTTCAAGCTTAACTTCAACTTTAGCCATTGTATCTTCTGAATTTTCCAATACCTGTGAACTGGAAGAATTTTCATTGATCGATACTGTTGAAAGTTTTGTAGTTTCTGTTTTACTTGGTTCATTTTGTTTATATGGTGTCAAGTTTGTTGGTTTATTAAGGATCGTTTTTTGAGGAGGCTGAACTTGAATAGCCGTCCGCTGAGCTGATTTAGGGATAATTCCCTTCTTTACACATTCTTTGAAATATTTGTGAGTTTTGATGATACGCTGTCTTATTATAAGAGCCGACTTGACGTCCTGAGCGCATTTTAGGCAGGAATATTTCGGTAGACCATCGTTCTCACGAACCTGAAACATTTGCAAAAAATGGCGTCAGGTATGATCGCTTTGTACTCCTTTGCTTTGTTACAGCTATTAGTCAACTAAGCTACGAGTGTAGTCATTTATTTTCATCATGGTGAAACTTTTGCCATTTAAAATGTAGATTCCGAACAGAAATAGGCCTTACATGTCTTTCTAGCACTCTAGGTTGCATCCAAAATTGTAGGGGCCAATTTACCAATTTATTAGTGTTTAATCCAGTTTATGAGCCCTTAATTTTTCGGTGCAGAAAAAGGAATGCAAGGTTTCAAATAAAACAAGGGTCATTATCCTTTTGGAACTTTCAACAAACAAATACGATACGATTTCTATCTATCGAGTTCTATTACCATCAGAATAAGGTGATATTTACTCCTTTCTCTATACAGGGTTATCCAAATTAAGTGTCCACCATTGGTAACTTTGTTATTAGTAAAAATACAAAGTTGTTTAAATTAGCAAACTAGTAGCATTTTTAACGCTGGTAAAAATGAGAAATAAAAAAAAACAATTGAGAGTCGTTATTTTGATTTTTTTCAGTAAAATAACATTTTTTTAAATGGAAACCCCTGTATATTATATTTTTTTCTGTTAAAGCATCAAATTTTAAACAAAAAAGTTCATAATGACTTTTCCGCTAAAGTCAAAAATAAAGTCAAAATAACGATAAATATTTTTAATTATTTGCAGTATTATAATATTAAGACGGCTATGAAAACAACATGGCGTTCGCGATTTGACAGCATTAAGATAAGCGACAAATTGTTAAACTGGACATACTCGCAACTAGAAGGCATTGGAAAACAATGATAAAATCAAATAATGTCAAACATTAGTGTAAATACTTGTTTATAAGCTTTATTGTGTCATTAATTTAAAGAAAAATGTTCTCCCATGAAGAAAAGTGTGATATGTTAGAATGCTATTTAGTGTGCAGAAAATCCTCCTTGAGAGCAAGAGAATACTACAGTGAATTATATCCCGCTCGCATTCAACCGTATGAACGATATTTTCTGAGACTTTATCGAAAATTTAGGGGCAACGAAAATGTTTTTGCTAAAACAAGGGCAAAAAAAGAATTCATAATAAGCGAGGCCACGGAAATTGCAGTTATTGGATATTTTGAAGCTTATCGTGAGAATTCAATAGCAGATATTCTCAAGGACTCTAATTTCAGTTATGGTGCTGTTCAAAGGATTTTAAAAAAATACAAATTTATTCCGTATAAGTACCGACCAGTTCAAACGCTTTTGGCAGGGGATCCAGAGAGAAGACTTGTTTTTTGCCATTGGTATCTTAGCTTCTGTCGCCAAAATGTAAATAACTTTCGTTACCTTTTATGGACAGATGAATCAAATTTTTCAAATTCTGGAATGTTTAATAGAAAAAAACACCATTATTGGTCAAGAGAAAATCTTTTGTTAGTACATCCAAGAGGCCCACAAGTCCGTTTCAGTTTCAACGCTTGGTGCGGTATAATTGGTTCAAAAATTGTTGGCCCGTTCTTTTATGAGGGAACCCTAACTGGTGAAAGATATGTGGAATTTATGTCAGAAATTCTGACTAATTTCTTAGACGAATTGGATCTTATAAGTAGACATCATCTGCATTTTCAGCAAGATGGCGCACCTGCCCACAACTCCAGAGGTACTTATCATTTTCTATGTACTACTTTTAATGATCAGTGGATAGGAACAAATGGCCCAATACAGTGGCCTCCCAGATCACCAGATCTAAACCCACTTGATTACTTCTTGTGGGGTTACTTAAAGAACCAAATTTACAAGCGAAGGTACGATAACCTTGACGCGTTAAAGACTGCAGTTAGGGAAAAGATAACCCAGATAGATGGTAGGACCATACTTAAGACAGTTCGAGCAGTTGAAAAACGTGCCCAAAAATGTATTGAAGAACAAGGTGGTGTTTTCGAGCATCTTCTTTAAAAAAAATTGTTATTGTATTTTGTAAGGTTATAAGTTGATGTTGAAAATAAAGTTTGTCGATACAATTTAATTGTTTCAGATTGGAGGCCATAACTTCAACAATTTGTAACCTAGGAGAAAAGTTATTGTAAGCTTTTTTGTTTAAAATTTGATGCTTTAACAGAAAAAAATATAATATACAGGGGTTTCCATTTAAAAAAATGTTATTTTACTGAAAAAAATCAAAATAACGACTCTCAATTGTTTTTTTTTATTTCTCATTTTTACCAGCGTTAAAAATGCTACTAGTTTGCTAAACAACTTTGTATTTTTACTAATAACAAAGTTACTAATGGTGGACACTTAATTTGGATAACCCTGTATAAGGTGAGATTCTAATTTGGCTGACGTCGTAATGTGTTCGAGAGAGAAGCGCCCGACATGTATGTTAGAAACAGTGCGCCGTTGGCTTCCGTTAACTCGTACTCGGGTTGCTAGCGAACGCGGTCCTTCTATCTGTTTCTAACACACGAACTGCATGCTTCTCGCGCTTCTCTCTCGTACACATTACGACGTCAGTGGTATTTGATTTACTGTGTACATATATGTTATAATAATGTGTCTACGTCTGAATCAGAATACGGAGGACGGAAAAATTTATAAACATATCTCAAACCTGAGGAAGGTGATAATCATGGTATTATCAGCGAAAATATACAGGGTGTTCAAAAAGTATGGATAGATCAAAATATCTCGAAAAATGCGTTTCCTAAAGAAACATGTAAAACAATGGTGTTATCTTGAATGTGTCCTTGACTATGGCCATCAAGGTCATTTAGAAGATCAAGACAATTGGCTTAAACGAAACGCCAAATTGACACTGGGAATGTAGCGGGAAATTTTACGTTAAAGTATTTTGAGGGTGTCCTAAAGTACGGAAAGGACAAAATATCTCGAAAAATACGTTTCATAACGAAAAATGTTATGTAATAAAGTTGTACGATTTGACTAAGACCTTCAAGCTCATTTAAAGATCAAGACAGTGTTCTTAAATGGAAACCTATATTTTTGACACCTCAAGTGAAAAGAGCAAGGAACATGATCAAATATGTCCATGACCTTGACTATGACCTTCAAGGTAATTCGAGGGATCAAATGAATTTTTTACAGAAATCATTTATTTTTAATTTCTGAAATGGAAGTTGCGGACAATTTAAAGTTCAAGCATATCCTTCCAATGAACCTCACCATGTCCTTCAAGGTCATTTTAAGATCAGACAAATGTTCAAGTAAATTGCTTTCTATTTGAAGAGGGTACAGAAATGCATACAGAATGAACTATACTTTACACTACTTCCACGCAAGCGGAGCCGCGGGTTTAGTCTAGGGATATATAAAATGCATCACAGTCCACTTTCTATTTTCATGTGTTTTGAAAACGTCATTCTTATGCGCTTCGTATAATACACTACTCAAGTTTCGGCCACTCGATTATCGTAGGCAACTATTATCATACAAACTTAAGGAGCTTCATACACTTCCCGACATGTATTTATCTACATGCACGAAGATTCAGGGCAATGTCGTTTATAAAGTGCTTGAGTAATCCAGTCATTTCAGATAGTCAAAATAACTTTACAAGGTAAGAAGTACTGAGTTAATCCATTCAACATAGTTTGCTATCAAATAATACAGAGTTTCTGCAATCATTAACACCACATACATAAAAGTGATGTCAAATAAGCTTACGTTAATGTTTACGTATGCGGCATTTGTGATCGCTTAAGAACAATATGCCCAATGTATCATAGTTTCAAACCAACAAGGATTTTCTGGCTATCAAGAACTGTCAAATACAGTTATCCAAATAAATGAATAATGTTTTACTGCCTAGCTATTTAATGAAGGGTCTTGATCCTCTATCAGAAATTGTAAAGAGTCTTAAGTCAATATGCTTTGCAAAACTCTACATAGGTAGGATATGTCAAAGTATTGGTCACTTTTATAAAATGTTCTAATAATTAATGTGAACATACAGGGTGTTTCACAACTTATCCGATAAATGTTAACCACATATGCACTGTTACGAGAGAAATTGATTTAAAAAAAAATAAGTCTTACAGAAATCGAGATAATAAAATAATACAGTTTAACAGTCCACTTACTTATAAAAGCTGTCCAAAATTGTTTCCATTGACTACAATGCAAGCTTGGGCACGTCTAATCTCCACCAGCACGTGCACGTAAAACAATTGAACTAAATGTTTCGTGACGTGGTATGAGCCTATTCGGAAATCGGTGTGCATACAAACAAGAAGCCGCTCGCGAATTTTGACCTGCTTCTCCGTACGCAAAAAAATGTCCACTAACTCCTCATTAGTGTACACATGCGCCATTTTTATTAATAAATAACTAAAACCTTAAACTCGCAAAATACTTTCTTATTTAACTTCGCACAAATCGACCGTTCTTCATTCAGATCACCCACGGTACATATTAAACCTTATTTACACGTTCTTATCGGTACGAAAAAACAAAAAATTCCTGGTATTTTGTTTTCGTCAATTGTTTGGTACAACATTGGCTACAATAACTTATTAATGCGTGTTCTAATATCAAGACGATGAAAGCAAAATACAGATATTTATTTTTCAATTTATTCTTGAAACTTAGGTTTATAACTTAATTTCTGTAGGACTTTTGATACTTTTTTTTGAGAAATCAAGTTTCGTAATAGTGCATATGTGATTAAAATTTGTCGGATAAGTTGTGAAACGCCCTGTATAAATCATTAATAACATTTATAATAATAACATGTCTTTATTGCATCATTAATATCACAACATAGCATTAAAAAGTATGATGCAAATGACAAGAGTCTAGCCATGGGCCAATCTATTCAACCAATATTTGGGGAATATAAAAAAAGTCTAAATTAAGTTTATACTATATACTAAAATCATGGCTGTTACTGTATGGCTGCAGAATTAAATGCTTCTAAAATTTTTGTGTTACTGTGTGTTTTAAATATTTTGTTTTTATAGTGACTCAAATTTATCATGATTCTGTATTCCTAATATTGATGTCTTATAATATTTTGCGGCGTTATATGAGTAAGAGCGCTGAAACATTAACCAGATCGATAAATGTGTATTGGTATTTCTCCAAATAAAAACACCAACATAATTATTATAATTTATATAAATTATAATTATTCACAGAAAACGACATTATTAGTGTCACGAATCAAAACCAATGCTGAAGTAAAATATTTGTAAAGAACTGATCAATTCACAAAAGCCTTGATATCTTCCTTTGGCTCTTCTGGCTCTGACTCTTCTCGATCCTCCTCTGTATCGTGACTCTCATCTTCTCTTATGTCATCATCAACACCGTGGACTTGTTTCATGTGGTTATTCAGGTACTCCCGACCAGCAAAAGATTCAGAACATAGCCCACACTTTATAGTACCATGCAATTTCTGATGAACGTTCAAAGCAAAATTTGTTGCAAAACCTCTGCCACACTCTGCACAGATAAATTCCTTGGCTTCTTCAATACCATGCTGGGATTTTAGATGGGACCGTAGTGACACCTTTTGCCTAAAGCCTTCATTACAATGATCGCAAACAAACGGTCTTTCGTTAGTATGCTGTCTCTTGTGAGTCTTGAGCGCATATTGCGACGAAAATCCTCTCTGGCAATACTCACAGATGTAAGGCCGCAACTTTTTGTGAGTCTTCCTATCATGTTCCCACAAGTCTCCTTTAGTGAAGAAAGCTTTCCCACAGGTCCCACATTTGAAGTTTCTCTCACCAGTATGAACCTTAATCCTGTGCAAGTCAAGGTAATATTTTTTCTTGAATTCAACGCCACATTCTTCACAAATAAAATCATTTTGACTTTGATGTTGATAACGCATATGCGGAGCAAGACTTACGATATTCTTGAACGTGACGCCGCACAAGGGACAAACTGCTGGTTCACCTGAGTGCACGATCATGTGTTTCTTGAAATTGTCTTTTCTGGTCAATGCGCCACAAACATGGCATTCAACCTTCTTGTGTTTCAGGGAGTGTGTATAGTAAGCCTGCCTGCCAGGGAATGATATGTTACATATCTTGCATGTAAAACTGGTCTGTTTCGTTAATTTGCGTCTAATTTCGTTTGTAAATTCATCAGTGTTTTCAGCAGCTGTAAAAACGTCATTACTATTTCCACTTTCATCTAAGGGTTCATACTTTACTTCCATTTCAGATGTGAGCTCTTCAGGAGTTTCTAATTTCTGTGAATCAAGTGATACTGTTGGGCATTTTGAAGTTACAACTGTATCGGGTTCATCCCGCTCGTTTGATATCGCGGGTGTAAACTTATAGATGATTATTTTTTGAGGCGACTCGGATTGAATGGTCGTTCTTTGAGTTGATGTACTTGGAGTACTTCGTTTCTTTAGACTTTCTCTGAGATATTTGTAAGCCCTGATGATACGCGTCTTTGTTAGCACTGCTTGTTTAACATCTAGAGAGCATTGTTTGCAGGAGTACTTCGGTAGACCGTCGTTCTGACAAACCTGAAAAATTTGCAAAAAATTGGCGTCAAGCACGATCACCTAGTACTCCTCCGCATTGTATTTTTCTTTAAGATATACATGTGAAAAACGCAAATATATCTTTTCATGTCTTTGAGTGCCTAACAACTTTAAATGGTAATCAAAAGCGTGGCTACCAGATAATTATTAGCCAATCCTAAATGCGGTTCTTCGAATAGCCGAGTAGTTCACTTTTTCAGAATATAAAGGAAAAATACAAAGTTGTAAATAAAATAAATTTATATATCTGTTGTAGCTTCAAAAAAATTAACTATTGGATGCATAATACAAACGATATATATTTTTAACATATATCAAACTCGGTCAATAAATCGGTCTGCAGTTTTTTGTACAAATAAATTCCAAAGAGGGTTAGCCGCGTTTTCTAAAGCGATTAGTGTTTTCAAAACACTAAGAGAGCTGATATCTCTGACTCATCCAAAATAATGCCAAAACCCTAAGCGTTTTTGAGAACGTCCCAAGGCCTGAGTAATTTCATTTATTTTAGTTTAGTAGACAGTAGGTAACTTCAAACCATAAAAAGTACCGAGTTAATCCGCGCTTAACTCCATTTTTCTTTCAACAAATGATGTAAGGGCCAGATAATTCTATATGTTTTGCAAAAATCTAGGAGAGGTAAACTCAAATACTTTAGTTACTTTCATAAAATGGTTTAATTCAACTAACATGAACATATAAAATCACTAACTGCATCAATAGCATATATGTATGATTCTCTCCAAATAAAAATATAAACATAATCAGTCATTTACAGATTAACATTACAGTTTCTTGAATTAAAACTAATGTACACCTAAGGCTAAATATTTGCAATGAATAAATCCATTCACCAAAACTTAGAGCTATCTTCTATAAGCTATGATTCTTCATCTTGGTTCTCCTCTGTATTTTGACTTTCATCTTGCTTCTCCTCATTATCAACATTGTGGGCTTCTTTCATGTGATTATTTAAATATTCCTGACCAGCAAAGGATTCAGAACATACTTCACACTTCATAGAAGTATGTAATCTTTGATGAATGCTCAGAGCATAATTTGTTGCAAAGCCTCTACCGCACTCAGAACAAATAGATTCCTTAGCCTCTTCAATGCCATGTTTAGACTTAAGGTGAGACCGCAGCGACACCTTTTGTCTGAACCCCTCATTACACTGATCACAAACATATGGTTTTTCGTTAGTGTGTTGCCTTTTATGAGTCTTGAGGGCATATGGGGACGAAAATCCTGTTCCACAGAACTCGCAGATATGGGGCCGCAACTTTTTGTGAGTCATCTTATCGTGGGTCATCAAATTTCCTTTTGTGAAGAAGGCCTTGCCGCAAGTTTCACATTTGAAGTTCCTTATACCGGTGTGTACTTTAGTCTTATGCAGCAAAAACTTGTACTTTATCTTAAACTTTTTCCCGCATTCTTCACACACATAGGAATCAGAAGAACTGCGATGTTGGTAAAACATATGTCCACGGAGACTCTCTATATTCTTACATGTAGCACCGCACAAATTGCAAACAGACGGACCCGAAGAATGCAACATCAAGTGTTTCCTAAAGTTGTCACTTCTAGTCACGCGATTGCAAATCTCACATTTTGTCTTTTTATGCTTATTGGAATGTAAAGTGTAAGCCGGTTTGTTCGAAAATGATATGTTACATATCTCACATGTATATGTGGTTTGTTCACGAGCTTGTTTTCTGCCCATCACTTTTTGTATTATCTCATTCAGAAAGTCACCACTATTTTCATCAGCCATAGAAGCATCATTACTATTTTGACTCGCTTCATCTAAAACCTCTAGCTTAACCTCCACTTTGGGTACAGTATTTTCGCTTACATCATCAGAATTTTGTTGATCCACAGTATTTTCATTGCTAAATTGAGCTGTTGGAGACTTCGTCTCAGTTTTCGGTTCGGTGCGTTTGTCTGGTATTACAACTTTTCTAGATCTTAAAACTGGTTTCCGTGATGTCTGAGCAGCTTGAACGGGTGCTCTTTGATTTGATACAGTAGATATATTTCGTTTCCGTAAGTTTTCGATGAGATATTTGTGAGCTTTGATAATGCGCTTCTTTATTATTAGTGCGGACTTAACATCCTGAGCACATTTTAGGCAGGAGTATTTCGGTAGACCATCGTTCTCACGCACCTGAAACATTTGGAAAGATGGCGTCAGGCATGTTGACGATGAATTGGACGAGAGAAAATGATAGTGACGTCAAGAAAATGCCAGGGATCTATTATTTAATCATTTAGACACTATTTTATGCGCCTGAAAGCCATGTACAACTGTACATGACTTTTAATAAGGTAGAACTAGCACGACAGTCGAAGACAAAATTTCCTGGAAATCTTCGGCACACTACCACTCACAACACGCTTAGCAGCAACGATATCGAATTGTACTGTTTTGGTATCATCCGCCGCATTTCAACTAAATATTTCAAAAACTGAATAGAGGAATACCGTTTAATTTTGCAAAAACAAGGTTTTATACATTTAGTTTGGTAGACGCGCCTGAGATTATTTTCTCAGATATAATATGGAAAATAAATAATGTGAGGAAGCATCAATATGATTGATACCGCAAATTTATCTACATACAACTCAGATATTTCAAAAATGGACAGTATATAATCAGTTTCTCAAATATCTATGTAAAATTGTTTCATAACAAAATTGAAATAATATTGGAGGAAACTCTTGTACGAGTTCCATGCAAATTTTAGAGGAATCGTTGGATTGCTTGTACATTGTACATTGAACATGTATCCATTCTTTACTTTTGCATTTGTAATGTGTTTCACAAAAGTAAGTAAAGGTACATTTACAGCCAAAGACATAATTCCAATTGAATGTGATCTGAATAATACTTGGTTATAAAATCAATTAACACACGTTATGATTTAATGTTTGTGATGTAACTAAATGGATTCAGATTCCTCTCAAAGGCACACCAGATACCTTTTTAGGCGTTGTTTTGATTTGCCATCATGAAACTTCCTATTTCTATGTTGTAAATCCACCTCATAATTGTCACTAAATGTAACATCACTGTCATTTTCTCCTAGCAAAGTAACTTTAACTAATTTATTTGGCTATATCAATGTAATTTGAAATGTAATTAAGATGTCACAGAAATGCTTATTTTCTATCGCTTATTGCACCATTTACCTTATGTCAGTGACAATTCTGCATGTGCATATTATGTATTCTATGGTTGTGAGCAGATCAGACTTTGAAAAACTATAAGAGAATGAAACTATAGGTTAAGTGAAATGACTGTGATGTCTGGCCTTTGGACTGCCCCTAGCTGTACAGACATCAGGGCAAACATATGTATTATAATAAAATAATCAGTCCAAGATAAATTTGTTTGGAACAATACTATGGACATCTTACACCAAGAGCTTCCTTGAAATTATATACAGGGAAACCAAAATTTGTCTGACGGCTTGAATTCAATGTGTACGAGAGAGAAGTGCGAGAAGCCGGCTGAAAAGTGAAAGTCATCACCATTGCCTAGCAACGGTGACGTAGAAGGTAGTGCAAGAAAATGTTCGCACATGCTTCTACAATAGATTAATTACTATCAAACCCAAGGAGGAGGTATGTTTGAACATTTAATTTAATATTTTGTTTTCATTTTGATTAGAATTATGTATTTCAATTTTCTACTGTTCACAATAGGAGAGCGCTGAAGCTGACACGGAACAGTAGAAATCTAGAAATATCCCAGCCTTTCTGAAGTAGAGAAATTAAAATCAAGGAGGTGATTGATATATGCGTCCTATAATTGTAGGTACCACTGTCGATACGGTAGCCTTGGCGTTTTAGCTAAATTTAAAATTATCTTTGATTTCCACCGATGGTGATAAAATCAACACATCCGGAGTTATTGTTACATTTTGCGACAGCGAGAGGTCTGAAAATGTAATAAATATCATTACACAACCAAAATCGCTCGTATATGAACTTGCACCTTGCCTTGGAATGCACGAGATGCGGTGTTGCCAAGCAAACCACTTATGCAATATTGCAGAATTTGTGACGATCCTGACTCATTTTGACCCAAAATGAAGCGCCGTCAGGACCGATCCGGAATCGATCTTAAACATATTCGACAGACTTCACCATTCAAAAATGTGTACGCTCAAAATAAAGCCACTATTTGGGCGTAGAAAATAAACTAACGTGTATTTTTAACATTCATCTTACTTCAAGGAAATGTAACATATTTGCAGCTCCGCAGATCGCCTCGTCAGAGTTGCTAGGCAACACAGTGATGAACTCCGCTATCCAGCCGGCTCTATCCTTTCTAACAACTGTGTCTATACACACTTCTCTCTTGTGCACATTGATCTCAAGCCGTCAGACAAATTTAGTTTTCAGTGTATGATGTAAATATACATGCATCACTTTAAATATGCAATGTTCTTGAAAATCAAACCATCATTATTTTGCATATTTCCCCTTTTTTCAACATTTACAATCATTGATAGAAGAATCAATCTTATATTTATTACCTGTTTTACTTTATATTACTGATATATTTAAACTGTAAGTGCATCCATTGTTAAATTAACACTCCACAAAAAAAATGGCCTAGTAGATTGACTCAGTACTTCCTCTGCATTAATCAATATACACACCGTTTATTTTGAAAAAAAAAACCAAATGTACAGCCATATAATTTCCAGATTTGACATAGCACACAAAAGAAGAAGCTGGGGGGGCCTTGATCAATATCTACTGATTTTATTTTTCATATTCATGTCTAATAAAAAGCATTGTTATTAATATATCAGTATCACTTATGATCGGGAACTGAAACATGAGTTGATAGGACCTCAAAATCTAGATGTTGAATATTGTTTTATTATATTCAGTCGATATGTAGAATGGGATAGTTTTTACCAATTTCATCCTCACATATGTATCAATCAATAGGACTTATTACATTCTATAGCAACCCTGATTTTTATCATTATACACAAAAAATGGAAATCATTCATAGATATCATACAAAAACTAAGTTGTTTTGGATCTATGGTTTGTTATTTGTAACTATAAGACTAATAAATATGTTAAATGCCTCAATTTACTTTGTTTCTAAAGTAAATGGTTCATAAAACCTGGTATAAAAAGAAAAAATTAATAAAAGCTATATACCACAAAAGTAATATTGCATGATTACGCTTATGGAAGATGATTTCTGTTCAATTAATATCAGTGGAAACAGAAACAATAAAAATTAGGATAAACTAATGGTTTCACCAATATTTTTGAAAAATAATTATTATTTGAAAATACACTTTTTTTATTGTTGGTCTAGCTTTAGATACAATCTACATCAAATGTTAGATTGCTTTAATATTCATAGCAATTTATTCAAAAATATTTATTAGGTTTTACAGTTTAGTCAATTTTAACCTATTCCCCATTGAGCTGGAACGTTTATAGCACTAGAATAAGTATTCTCAAACACTTCCACTGCCAGTATTTATCATATTCAATAGCTCATCATAAGCAAACAATACACTATTTTTCACAACATTTCAACATATCAAAATGTGACAAATATCTGCTGATAATTTAATGACATTCAAAACACCCCTATTGTCATGTGTAAGGATGATGTCTTTGTGCCAATAATTTTGGACAAACTTAATACGACAGTTTTCTTATACAATGAGAATGTATCAATCAATATTGTATCTAATGACTAATGATCATAAGGATGCACTGATAACCACTTTTGAAAAAAATTGACTATCAAGTACTTGGCCAGATTCGATTACTGAGTTCTGGGTATTTGGTGCAGTGATTAGCGCTCAGTTGTTACTTTAGATACTATCAATATTAAGAATTGAGTTTTACAAAACAGTTGTGAGACTTGGTAATGATTTTTCGTGATTGAAATGATTTTTTATTCAATTTTCTTATGTGAATATTTTGTGTCTTGCAACTGATGGGTATGTTTTTCATATAAAATTTAAGACACTGGAATTCAGCAGCTACAAACTTGAACACAGATCTAACCAGATTTTGACTCTACATTTTTGTAAAAATGGTTTCAATATACTCTTCAATCTTTCCTATTACAAGAGATGTACAATTGTAATACAATATTTTTTAGATTGTAAATAAAAGAACAACATTTGAAAGGTATATGCCCCCATTTCTGTTGCATTTTGTTTGTTTCTTGAGTGTTCATAAAAAGGAACAAATAAAAATGCAAATATTAAATAAATTAATACAGCTACAGTAGCTGTTCCATGGACATACAGTGTGAAGGTTGGCTGAGTTTCAATGTGTACAAGAAAGAAGCATGCAACAGTTATGCCAGAAAGTGTGATCTGTGATCGTCTTCTCTGTGATTGACAGGCAATTTGGTGGCACTCTATCTAACATAGGTGCTGCTGGCTTGTCTCTCTCATACTTGCTGAAACCTGACCAATCTCAACTGTAAATGATTCACACAGCATAAAACATTAGCTATGCAAACACTACACTAACTTACTATTGAAGACAGTTTACATTTACTAAGAAATCACATAAGGCAAGTGATTTTTTCAAAAAATATGTATCCAATATTTTCATAGTGTACTGATTTATTGGGGAGATTCTATCCCTAGACTTCACACCCCCTTTCCAATTCTTTGATTTACTAAGCTATATGTCCTGTATTCAGACCAGGTAATTAACTAGCCACATAGTGGGTACAAATTGAGTACTCAGTGCATCACTAACCATGAGTCTGATTCCAAATGAGTTTTGACAGTTGAAATTTATTTTGATGGTGCCTCGGGACAATATACTTGATTCACTATGATAATTTTGGAAAATAGAAGAACAATATAATCAGTTGTCAAAATTATCATAGAGAATAAAACATATCGTCGAAATTAATTTCAATGGTTGAAACTCAGTTAGAATCAAGCCCCATGACTATATTTCAAGTGGGCTAAAAAATAAAATTGAATAAACACCTGGTAAAAATGGTTCTGATATGCTACTGAATGTCAACAGATTATCTTGTGAACTACAAAATTAACAAGAGACATCAGATTGTGTTGAAGTACTGTTGAATATAGTTTTAGTTTGCTCCTCCATCTAAAATGAAATGGTATCTTACCTTGATGGAAGTCAAGATCTCCAACATCTTGGGGAAGTCTCCACCGAAAATGTTCACCCGCGTAGGAGTCCTTTTCAGGCATAGTCTGCATTGGTACAAGTTCTGTGTCTGAGATGTCTGTGCAGATGTCATTGTAGTAGGGATGTCACTAGCAACCTAAATGGCCAAAAACGAACAACTTTAAGAACCTGTTTCGTAAATAACATAAATTAGATACAGTGAAATTGAAAATACAAACCGTTGCTAGAAGTGTCTTTTCTGGCTCAAAGTTGGATCTATTCGAAGATACAAACATGTACTACACACAAGCGTCTGGGATGTGAAGCACCAGATACAATTTATGAACAGCTTATCAGGGGGGCATCATCACTTTTCTGGAATATCTGAATTCATATTTATTTCACGTTGTATCCAAACAAATATCTACACAATGTGAAAAATTGAAGATGTCAGACGTATAAAAAGAATAGTGTCAAGCGAAAAGTGAGCTTGCCCTTGTTTGACACCTTGACGCATGCCATGTCACATATCAAATCCAAGCGATTAACCAAGATTTCCGTATTATGACCGCGGTTATATAGTGGATACCAAATAAAACCCGATGCACGTCATCGATCTGGAGCTGTGCGCTGTTGCCAGAATTTGCACATTTTCTTTTAAGCAAATAAATTTAATAAAATAAATTGTTTATATATACCTACCATTTACTATAATACCATTATATTAAAAATAAATAAACTTGTTGTAAAATTAAATTCCTTTCTGAATAAAAACACCTGATTTTGGTAGATATTCAATGATATGAGCTCTTTACACCGACTGTTAAGTTGTTTTGGCATTTTTGATACTTTACACCACTTCACAGTAACTGTTGTTCTGAAAAGAACAATTTTTAATTGGCAAGGCAACGATTCAAAGCTCAAATAGCGCAAAACTCACAAACTAAACAATAAAGAACTAATAGTACGACAAAAAGGCAATGGCAACTGATGTCAACAAATGAGAAGTGGCAACCTCACATTTCTCTGCACGGCACTACCAACCGAATCGAGACGGGGAAATTTAAACTTCAAGTAGAAATGTCACATTGAATGTAGTCAACTGTTGGTAACCATGATTTTTATGAATGACATCACCTATGACGTGCATCGGATTTTATTTGGTATCCACTATACGTAGTCGTGCCATAAGTTCTGTCCCATGATAATCTCATGATAAAAATGAAACAAGATAAGATATATTTATATGAAAGATATTATTTATTCGACAACATTTTTAGAATTCATAATCAAACAGTTTTATTCAAAATGTCCCCCCTTGGCCTTCACACACTGCTTCAATCTCGCGGGCCACTCATCTATCACTGCACGCACAGCTTCCAAAGGAATAGCTGCCGCTGATCGGATCAAATCCGCTTTCAGGGACTCGATATTACGGTGGGTTTTGGAGCAGGCCAACTGCTCTAGCAGGTCCCACAACTTGTAGTCTAAAGGATTGAGGTCCGGACTCCCTGAGGGCCAATCTTCCGCAGCAATGAACTCTGGCACATTGCTTTCCAGCCAGCGCTGCGTACTCTTAGCCTTGTGAGCGGGGGCGGAATCCTGCTGGTAGACCCAGTGTTGGTTGGCAAACAATGTACCACTTAAAGGCTTGACGATAGGATCCAGTATGTCGCTCTGATAGTTTGCCGCTTTTGTTTTCACGCCCTGTTTACAGAAATGGAGCTGAGTGACCCCTTCGTAGGACACCCCCCACCAAACCATGACTGACGCAGGGTGGTGGCCTCTCTCAACTCTCGGAATGATCTCCGAAGCTTCCTGTGAACTCCTTGCATACACTTTGTCATTTTGTCGGTTGAATTTTTCTTCTATGGTGAAGATTTTCTCATCCGTGAACAAAATCTTTCGGAATCCCCCAGCTGCGTACCTCTCCAAGAGCTTCTTGGATCTTGTCGCCCTGATGTGTCGCAAGGTGGCCGTAAGTCGCTGGCCCGTACGTCTCCGGTAAGCCCCTAGCCCTAGGTCTTGTTTAATGATGCGCGACATCGTCCGGACAGGAATCTTCATTTCCCTGGATAGGATCTTCTGCTTCCGGAGTGGATTCCTTTGAATCCTGGCTTTTACGGCTTTGATGGCTGCTGGAGTCCTTACTTGACGAGGTCTTCCGCTTCTTGGCCTGTCATCAACAGAGGACGTCTCATTGTACCGCTGAATGGTCCTAGACACAAATTTACGCGATATTTGAAGGCCGCGTAAGAGTTCAAAAATCTGACTAGCACTGTGATTACACTTATGTAAAGCTATCACTGCAATACGGTTCTCTGCCTTGCCCCACTCCATCGTTATGCTTCGAGAGATCAATACAAACTGAGGTATATGTAATTACCCGAAAAGCGCTTAATCAACTGACACCACAATGTAAACAATCGGACAAGTATTAACAGGTCTACACTTGTTTGAAAACGAGGGACAGAACTTATGGCATGACTATGTAATATGGATCAAGATGACACACGGGATGATGACGTCATTTACTCGAATCGCTTGAACGCGTTGGTTTTATCCGCGGTTTGGTGCAAGTTGTTTATTTTAGAAAAGCGCGTATACAATTTCTGATTATTTTTATTATCAGTTACTGATGGAACCATGGCTTTGTAGCTATGATAACTTTCAATTCTCTAAAATTTTCCGCATGTCAAAGAAAATATTCATTGATTTAGCAGAAATGATGAAAAAGCGATGAAGAAAAGATATTAACAAAACCGTATACAGGTGGACATCATCCAGTTGAGTTTATATGGCGATATTTTAATATTCTTGTGGCTATACAGGATACTTTGTTAAGCGTAGGAACTAGATTTAAAGTGTCCCCAACAACAGTAATGATTATAAATAATAAGGTGCTTTCTTATGCTAAAACTGAAGTCAGCCTGTATCAAGTTTCCCAAAAATGAAGCTAAGTACAATAAAAATATCCAATACCCGGCAAAATTCTAACTTGTCACATGTCAAATAATAACCAGAAATATGAAACTACTCCTGAGTTGAGTAAATACCACAATTTTGCGGTGATAACTATGACATATTATAACAGCTGATTCATGACATCACGAATCTTATAACCAAACTGATAACCACACTCGCTTGGACGGATCGGTAAATACCAATCCAAAATGGTAAATACCATTTTCATTTGGTTATCCGCTTGAATTTGATTACAGAGTACGCTGTCTGTGTCTGTGATCATGTTCCCTCTCAAAATTAAATTGCTCCCACACGATGTGGCGAATGCCTTACAACGTTGGACACATGGCCATTCGCCACATCATCGTGTGGGAGAGCGCTGACGGATTACATGTGTCCAATGTTCGGCACATGGCACGTTCCCGGCTCTTGTTGGTAAATTTGACAACGTTGGAAGCATGGTTCGTTACACTCTCATACGAGATGTCATGTGTTTGATATACATAAATCAAATTCAAGCGGATAACCAAATGGAAATGGTTTGGTTTGGTATTTACCAATCCGTTCAAGCGAGTGTAGTTATCAGTTTGGTTATAAGATCCGTGACGTCACGAATCAGCTGTTATATGTCATAGTTATCACCGCAAAATTGTGGTATAGTGGATACCAAATAAAATCCGATGCACGTCATCGATCTGGAGCTGTGCGCTGTTGCCAGAATTGATATGAGCTCTTTACACCGACTGTTAAGTTGTTTTGGCATTTTGGATACTTTATACCACTTCACAGTAACTTTTGTTCTGAAAAGAACAACTTTTAATTGGCAAGGCAACGATTCAAAGCTCAAATAGCGCAAAACTCACAAACTAAACAATAAAGAACTAATAGTACGACAAAAGGACAATGGCAACTGATGTCAACAAATGAGAAGTGGCAACCTCACATTTCTCTGCACGGCACTACCAACCGAATCGAGACGGGGAAATTTAAACTTCAAGTAGAAATATCACATTGAATGTAGTCAACTGTTGGTAACCATGATTTTTATGAATGACATCACCTATGACGTGCATCGGATTTTATTTGGTATCCACTATATTTACCCAACTCAAGAGTAGTTTTATATTTCTGGTTATTATTTGAAATGTGACAAGTTAGAATTTTGCCGGGTATTGGGTATTGTTATTGTACTTCAGCTTCATTTTTGAGAAAAATGATACAGGCTGACTTCAGTTTTACCATATTTACCTTATTAGTTATACTCATTACGGTTGTTGGGGACACTTTAAATGTAGTTCCTATGCTTAACAAAGTATCCTGTGTAGCCATATACCACAAGAATATTAAAATATGGCCATATAAACTCACTAGATGATATCCACCTGTATACGGTTTTGCTAATTTCTTTTTTCATCATTTCTGCTGAATCAATAAATGTTTTCTTTGACATGCGGAAAAATTTAGAGAATTGAAAGTTATCATGGCTACAAAGCCATGGTTCCATCTTTAAGAAAAAATCTGAAAAAAACATTTCTCCCATGAATATTATGAAAGGTTTCTTATTTAAACTTTCCATATACAGTTGTAGACGAAAAAGCACCGATTATTAAGTGATAATAAAAATAATCAGAGATTATATACGCGCTTTTCTAAAATAAACAACTTGCAACAAAACCGCGGTTAAAACCAACGCGTTCAAGCGATTCGTGTAACTGACGTCATCAACCCGTGTGTCATCTTGAACCATATTATAACCGCGGTACATAACACAGAAATTTTGGTTATTCGCTTGGATTTGATTATAATATACACTGAAGAAGGTTTAATTCCATGCTATTCAATGGCAACACGGTGACTTGTGTGGTTGTCAGGCGCCATTTTTGAGGGTGCGAGATGGTTGCCAGATTGTGCATTAATATCCCGCAAAGTTGCTAGCTCTACATATAAATCCGAGATTGCTATACTTTTATATACAGGGTGACTTTGAAGTTGAGTCATTAATTTTCAGATAATGATTGTAGAAGGAAGATAAACCAAAATATGTGTGTAAAAATAAAAAAAAAATTAAAAAAAAAATGTTACCTTGTTTTATAAAGTATCCTCCCGACAAGTATTTCAGTGCGGACCTGTGCGCCCAAAAGCATGTCACAAAAACTGTTCGAAATGATTTCCGTTTTGCTCGACGCACAGCTGGGCGCGTCTTAGCCATGTCTCTTTACAAGCACGCAATAAAATCACTGGTTGATTTCTGATCACTGTACTCATTTCCTCAATTCGAGCACGTAATTCTTCGCGTGTATTAACCGGTGTTTTATACACTAGAGTTTTTAGCCAACCCCACAAACAAAAGTCTAAAGGATTTAAGTCCGGAGACCTTGGCGGCCAAGGTACAAAACCGCCACGGCCGATCCAACGATTATTAAATTGTTAATTTAAAAATTCACGCACATTTCTTGCATAATGGGGTGGTGCCCCATCTTGTAAAAACCACATGTTTTGTCTAATATTTAAAGGCACATCTTCCAGTAAACCAGGCAAATTGTGTTGCAAGAAATCAAAATAATTTTCACCAGTTAAGCGATTTGGTAATTCAAAAGGCCCCACTAAAATTCCATTAACAATTCCCGCCCACAGGTTGATTGGTTCAAATCGCTGTTGAAAATTGGTTTCCCTTATTTCATGGGGATTTTCAATAGCCCAAACGTGAGAATTACGTGAATTAATAATTCCGTTTCTAGTAAAGAGGGCTTCATCACTCACTAAAATTTGATTTAAAAAATTGTCATCATTTTGATGTTTATTTAAAAGCCAATTGCAAAAGTCAACCCTTTGTTCATGATCTTCCGGTTGTAAGGCCTGCACTTTTTGTATGTGAAACGGATAGAACTGATTTTCACGTAGAGTTTTCCAAGTTTTATACTGACTAATCGCCAATTGAGTTGAAATTTGTCGGGTGCTTACTGTTGGATCATCTAATTCTAAAATTTGTTCTTCTAGTTCTATTTGATCGTGTGGTCTTGGAGCACCGGCATGATCTCCTCTGTGAGGTCTTAAGTCACCTGATTCACGAGCTCTTTGCACTACATTAACAAAGGCACGAGGGGTTGGTTGCACTCGATTGGGAAACCGATCCGCATAGATCCGTGATGCCGCGGCAGCATTTTGTAAAGACTCCCCGTAAATAAGAACCATGTCCACAAGTTCAGCATTTTCGTAAACATGTGCCATTTTTGATTTGAGCCTCGCAACAGACACGATTATTCACTTACGCGTTACCGACTACCGACTGATACTGACTGTATACAACTGAAGAAAATAATTGTAAAAAGATCGTTCCAAATTCTTTCGCTTTTTTGTTTCCGATGCGATGAACGGATAAGGCGGATTATATCTGTTGTTGCCAAACACGAGAACATAATATCATTATTGAGACAGGGCGGTACTCAAACTTCCAAAGGGCTATAACTTTGTTACTTTAATTTTACCAGAAAAATGGTAAAGGAAAAAAACATTTCTTTTGATCAGATCTACTCACTGTTAAAATAAATGACTCAACTTCGAAGTCACCCTGTATAGAAATTTGGTGGTATATGGGAGATCTTATAACAGCATTATGTGCTATTAAAATTTTGCGCTATCTTGACGAATAAGTGCTTTTTTGTATGTTAAAATAGCAACGTCAGTAACACAAGCTGTTACAAGATCACTCTCTACTTACTAATCTGGAAAGGTTCAAAAGAAAAACACATATTGCCAATACTTAAATATATATTCATTATATAAATCTGACACATTTTCCTACAAACAAATCAGTATTAACATCATTATGGTCCAGATGTTTTCATTCCACAGCCTTTGTTGGCACCTACATATAAATACAAAATTAGGCAACAATTGAATTGTGTTGATATGTTACTACAATTTCAGATTTCTTTTTTTATTACCCACAGGAATTTTTCTCAGAGGTGCTGATCATCATCAAGAGATAACTTTTTGTGAAATTGTACCTGCTCCCAAAATTTTTTGATGAGTAGAGGAAGCAATTTTCTCAGGAGGAGAAAAATCCTAAAAAATTCTCAAAGTTGTACACAAAAGCATGCTAAATATTCAAACATTGAAGTCAAAGCGGATTCCTAGAAGAGACCATGGCCCCTCTGACACCACTCTGTGGGCACCCATGTTATTGTTCTTGGTTAATTGGAGTTTGTCTTATAGTATTTACAAATATATTACAGCTTTAAATACTTACATTTTTATACTTCACAACTCTGAACAAAAGGCATATGTCTCAAATAACATAGTAGGGACTTTATTCAAAGAAAATGAAATGTTTATGAGGCACAACTAAAATGGCTTGCGGAAAAAGTAAGGTTATTTTTGCGAAGCACAGCCACAGGAAGAAAACCGCCGGAAATTTAAATCTGGCCAATCAGACAACGTCAGTTGTGAATAAGCCTCAATTTTTTGAGGGTGCGGCATGGTTGTCATATTGTGCACCCTCAACACTGCTTTGTTTCCCATTCGCCCATACGAGTTTCACCCCCCTGGTTTTAGGTTAGAACCAGTAGCGGCGACAAAGATTATTTGTTTCATGGGAAAGCAATTGAATCAATTTTTGGTTCCACATTGGTCAATGCATTCATATGTTATAAAGAAGTAACACAAAATAAAATTCAAATTACGGAATTCATGGAGTTTTTAGGATTATCACTTCTGGGTGAAATACAAAACACGAGCTTCAAGAGCATGCGAAAAATCGATGTGTAACATGTTATGCCAAAGCTAAGGAGGAAAAACAAACATGAAGCAAAACACCAAGGACTAAATTTCAGTACACTTCTTGTAACAATAGTTATTGTCGTGTTTTTTTGAAACCCATCATGCTGAGAAATTGGACTAACTTTTTAAATATTATTATAATATTTTTTTAAACACACTATATAAGTTGATTTGCACTTCTTAGCTTTAGAATATACGTTTCTTTTATATTTTTGCATTTCATTTTGTTATATTTACTGGAACAATATTCTCTAAATTGAAATAAAATTGTATGCTACCTATCTATAACATAGGATTTTAGTCAAATATTCACAGCCGGGTAACAAAAAATGGGTAAGACGTCAATATTCGCCACATTTAGGTCATCTTAACGTATCAATAGTTATGACATGTAACAGGTGGGAGGAAATCAAAAGATTCATGCATTTCAATAATAACGATAATGTCATACCTCGTGGCACACTTGGACATGACAAACTGTTCAAGATAAGACCTTTCCTAGATAGTCTACAAGAAAGGCTGAATAAAATTCCAATTGAAGAGCATGTTGCGGCAGATGAGCAAATTATTTCCACTAAAGCCCGATCAACAATAAAACAATACAATCCGAAAAAACCACACAAGTGGGGCTTCAAAGTTATTGTTCTGTGCGGAATCTCCGGCTTTAATTACAGCTTCGACATTTTTGCGGGCGCTCAGAGCAACGTGGTACCTGTTGATGCTCCTGATTTGGGAAAAAGCAGTAATGTAGTCCTGAATCTTCTCCATAGAGTCCCTAAGCATGTCAACCACAAGATTTTTTTTGACAATTGGTTCGCCAGCATTCCACTTGCTGTATACTTGACCAAGACCAAATCGAATTCAAGGTTGCAGAAGGCTATCGGAAAAGGAGTTTAAGAAACTTGGAAGTGGATCTTGACAAGTGAAAATTGCTATCAAGTATGGTGTAAAATTAAGTACTGTTTGCTGGTATGACAAAATTGTCTCAACTTTATCATCTTGTGTCGGCTCTCAACCAAATTCAAGCAAGAAAAGGTTTTTTAGAAGCGAGAAATGCTACAAAGATGTGCAGTGTCCACAAACAATTCTAAAATACAATGAATACATGGGAGGAGTGGATCTATTGGACTCTATGCTTGGTTACTATCGCATCAAAATTAGATCCAAGAAATGGTATCTCCGCATTTTCTTTCATTTCATAGATATGTGCGTTGTAAATAGTTCGCTTTTATGGAGAAGGCACAACAAGCTTCATATGTCACTTGCAGATTTCAAGGTAGCTATTGCAGATGCCTTATGTAATAGTGGAAAGTCTGCATTGAGTAGAAAATGTGGACGACCTAACGCCAATCTTGAACATGCCTATTTAGAAAAAACAAAACGTAGACCTACGGCTGAAAGTCCCCATGTTGAAGTTAGGAAGGACGGAATGGATCATTTGCCGGAATGGAGAGAAAATGAAAGAAACCGATGCAGACATCCCGACTGCAAATACCAGTCATATATTTATTGTGTGAAATGCCAAGTACCGTTCTGCCTAAATAAAGACAGAAATTGTTACTTACGATTCCACACCGAATAACTGCATGAGAATTGTTGTTAGTGCATAGTGTTTCATATATGGTACATACTCTTTTTTTGTAAAATTTTGAATAAAAACTCAACAACGATTTTTTACATTATTTTTTATCTAACTTGTGCCAATTGAACTACCTCATATATGTTTTCCAGTTAAAATAAAAGAATCATGCAATAAGGGGATAAAAAGGACTTGGCCAAATTTTAGTTTTTCCCAAATACCTCAGTATATGACTAATTTCTCAGTGTATGCAATGTGAGCAATTTATTTAAAAAACATAGGATGTCGACCCTAACACACAAGTAGATGAGTATGCAAGGCTCACCTATAGTTTCCTGCACAGATATTCTGTTTCCCTCAGACGAGTTGTAAGTAGATCTAATTTCCACTTTGGAGACACTTGACACCCACGTCACAACACCAAAGCACCACTGAGAGACAATCGATAACAACCCTACTGAAAAAAAGTAGCTTAACCGAATAAAGCTCTGCACGGAGCTTTAAATGCGTGGACATTCCGCTGAGCCGACGGTTGCCGAGAGACTCAAGCGTGTGAGTGCTACCGGTCAACGTAAACATCGAGTCGTTTCGGGAGCAGACGCGCGGAGTGGAAGCTGCAAAGGGACGCGGCTCTACTACCCGGCCGTACCGTATCGCCGCAGCGAAGTACATCACTCGCACGCTTGAGTCTCTCGGCAACCGTCGGCACAGCGGAATGTCTACGCGTTCACAGCTCCATACAGAGCTCTATTCGGTTTAGCTACTTTTTTCAATAGTGGTGTTCACTATAGGGTTCTCGATTGTCTCTCAGTGGTGCCTTGGGGTTTGGTGTTGTTACTTGGGTGTTTCCAAAGTGGAAATTAGCTCTACTTCCAACTCTTCTGAGGGAAACAGGATATCTGTACAGGAAACTAGGTGAGCCTTGCTTACTCATCTACTTGTGTGTAAGGGTTGACATCCTATGTTTTTTTAAATAAATTGCGCACATTGCATGCACTGAGAAATTAGTCATATACTGAGGTATTTGAGAAAAACTAAAATTTGTCTGACTTTATTTAAAGAAATGTCAATAAACTAATGGCACTATTTAGGCACTAAATGATGGTGTTTTTAAAAAAGTGCTATACTGTATCTAATAGCAGTTTTTTCAACGACTTCAACGATGTATCACGTTACATTTGTTTTTTAGTTATAAACAAACGTGCTTTTTTCTACTTTCTCATTATATTTAAGTAGGCGTTGCAAACAAATGCTTGATGTAAGATTGTATGATCACTGAGTTTAACCTAGTCTGATCCTTATCGTGGCCACCCTGTAATACATTATTATAAGAACAAATTTACAGAAACGTGCACTAATCTAACGTTTTTGTAAGTATTCTTATGTACTTACATTCATTTTTGAATTATCTCAAAACCATTAGCAATTCCTCCAACAAAAGGTCCAAGGAATTGGTGATAGCAGAGGTAGCAAAATCGTCCGATGAGCTGGCAATGCCGCAATCCAGGTGACAAGAATGACAAGATCAACTTTCAAAACGTATGTCTATCTCGGGGTAATGACGGAGTCATTTACACGTCAATGCGGCAGTTTTCAATCTTCATTTGCATATTTTAAGTATTGTGCAACGATTTCGAGAGAAATTTAGCTACGGATAGTCTAGTAGAGTGTATTTCAATAGTTATCTTGCGTGGCCATGTTATCTTTACTCGGGTCTCTTAAAAATATCGATCGTTTTTTGTGCAATGTTCGTACTGCTTTTCTTTAATGTCCCCCCCCCTTTGATTTTTTGAACAGATCAATTCAAAAAATTAAAACTTGAGGTAATGAAACTGATGCGTGGATACCATACTTTAGAGTAAAATTGACAGATGAAGATGTCAAGATGGCCGATGGGTGCCATCTTGGAAAACAATTAAATGAAAACGGGGGTCTTGTGGCACATCATTTTGAAGCTCCTGACGAGTACTTTATAACCCTAGAATATAAATTCAATATCTTTACCTACTACAAAATGGTGATACATTTAATAATTACTTCAACACAAACCCACTAACATGCATATCTCTACAAATAATTGTAATTCCCTGCCGTATCCACAGCAACAGCGATAAAAACTTGTTTTGTGATTTTTTGTTGACAGTGACAAGAATATCAGTACGAAAACAAACATCATTGTACAGTTAAAATATTCTTATTTAGTTTTCGGTTTTAGTGCTAGATACCGTTGTAACTATTTTTAAAATGGTCAATTCTCGTCCATTGGAAGAACAAATCGAAGCGATTTTTATTTATGGTGCGACGTGTAACTTCTACGAGACAGAAAGGATTGGATGGATACGTCAGGGAATTACAATTATTTGTAGAGATATGCATGTTGGTGGGTTTGTATTCAAGTAATTATTAAATGTACCACCATTTTTTAGTAGGTAAAGGTATTGACTTTATATTCTAGGGTTATAAAGTACTCGCCAGGAGCTTCAAAATGATGTGCCACAAGACCCCCGTTTTCATATAATTATTTTTTCCAAGATGGAATCCGCGCATCAATTTCATTACTTCAAGTTTTAATTGTTTGAATTGATCCATTCAAAAAATCAAAGGGGTTTCCTATATCTTCGATGACCTTCTTCTTTATCATTAAAATCAGGTGGACGTGTTTTTCCATTTATGATTTAATAATTTAACTCATTTTTCAGCACTGCCAATTTTCAATTGACATGTCTGTTTTTTAAATGACAGACACTTAACGTTAGGCGGTTACCCGTACCACGTGATTTATTGACATTTGGATGACGTCACTTCCGTCTTCCTCTATTCCCGTTCTACGCGAAAATTTGAGTATCGGTTCCCGGTAGTGGCACTGTGCTACACCGTGGACTCGCGAAAAATGCTTTATTTTTTTATGACCGAAAATTGACATTTGTTGATTGACACTTTCAATGTCACGTGTCATTTTTGTTGTACACATTCGCGAAGGTACGCCAACGGGTTGTTTTTCGCGGGATCCACCAAAAATTGAGTGAAATGCCCCCTAAAAAACGAGAAAAGGATCCCGAGACAAACAAAAATCCTAGAATAGACCATATCCAAGCTGACCATGAATTATTTTTACAAGCATTCGAAAGTAAGTTTATCGTTTCAGTACCATCTTAACTTCCACTAAATAATGTATTGTTTCAGAACCAACACAAATCTATAGGTATTTACGAACCAGGAATATGTGCTCGGTAAGTTTCAATTCATTGATACCTAAGAAATACTTTAATAGTCTCCTTTTAGCCTATCTTCTTGAACAGAACTTTAACATACATGAAAAATAGAATGTCAAGAAGTCACAAGGGTAGGCAGAGCTTCAAAGTGGACTCCCTTCTAGAAAAAGTCACAGTGAAGCGGGACTCTCTGGCGATCCAGCCAGGCTACATCAACTTAACATTCTTAAGCTTCAACCATAAATCTCTAGATTCCAATTTTCAACAAGCTCAGGTAGAAACCATCCTATTAAAAATTAGTCACAAAAAGCGTAAAGACAGTTCTGCGCCTAGTATGCAGGTAACTTTAGGAACTGCAGATGTTCCTGTGAACCCAAATGATCAACAATTACCACCTAAAGCATCAACTATAAGTATATCCACTGAATCTTTCAATGCATCAAGTGGGCCTTTAGTAAAGTCCTTCATACTTCTATTTCGGGTAAAGATATCTCCTAGTAGAGATAGTGAATGTGAGGAACCAGCACTTAAAAAGAGAAAGTTGCTGGTTGATAATGATGCTAAGTTGTATGGTGCTGAATTAACTGTATATGATAAACATAACAGATGTTATCTTAGTGATGGAGATTATGATGTTGTTGTCCAGGACTTTACCACTGTTTCCAAAAATCCTCCCAAAAAACACTCCAGTTGGGAAAATGTAAATGATTTGGTAGAAACATGTGGTAATCTTGATGCATTTATGAAAGGAGCAGTACTAAGGTTCAAACTGAATTGGTCACCAGAGGCTAGTGCAAAAGTTGTTGATAGACCTAGGCCCTACCCTCTACAAGACAATAAAGAGAATTTGCCTGTCATTACAAATAATAATAACAATAATGTAGAAAAGTTACAAATAGTTTATCAGTTTGTTTATAACAATAACTCCAGACAACAGACCGAAGCTTGTGAGGATCTACATTGTCCATGGTGTAGTCTACACTGCAATACCTTATATACACTGCTAAAGCATTTAAAACTCTGTCATTCAAGGTTCACATTTACTTATGTACCAATATCTGTTGGTGCGAGGGTAGATGTAGCTATAAATGAAATGTATGATGGATCTTATACTGGTTCACCCCATGATCTCATCTCTCAACCATCAGTTTGTGCCTTCTCAAGGAATGGCCCAGTAAGAAGGGCTTCTGTTACACATATTTTGGTATGTCATCCCAAAAGATCAAAGCCCAGTCTTTCTGAATTTTTAGAACAGGATGATTGTGAGTTTGATGGCCAGAGGCCTTTTATCACAGGTCATAATAGACTTTACCATCATACAACCACTTGTCTACCAATATACCCAAAAGAAATGGATGTTGATTCTGAAGGTGAACATGACCCTGAATGGTTGCAGAACAAAACAATGATGATGATAGATGAGTTTACAGATGTAAATGAGGGTGAGAAAGAATTAATGAAAATGTGGAACCTGCATGTTATGAGGCATGGCTTTGTGGGAGATTGTCAAATTCCTGTGGCATGTCAAACATTTGTTCAAGACAAAGGCAAAGAATTATTAATGAAAAACTTATATAAGAACTTCGTCATACACATGTGTAGTCTGTTTGATTTTGGCTTGGTGAGTGCTGTATGTTTGTACACAATAATACAAAAATTGCAAGAGCAAGTAGGTGAAACTGGGCCTATAAGGACCATCCTCAAAGAATCCAGGGAAGCACAGATGGACAACTGGTCCAAAACAACCAACACTCCAATACATTGTGATAAATCAAGTCCACATATAACACCATCAGGCAGAAAAACAGGAAATGTGGGCATGCAAAGAAGGAAAGGCACTCCAACCCCTAATGATTCAGTAGCTAGGAGGAAGTCAGTTTGTGCAGAAACTACAAGGAAAAGGCTGTCAATGTCTTTGAACAAAACTGAACATAAGTCCAGTTAGTCAAATAGACTTCATTTTTATTTTTGCATAGTTGTCAGAAATGCAAATGGAATCTGCTACAATCAAATTTTGATTTGTCAGATATACCAACTGAAATTTTGAAACAAGATGAGATGTTTGGGTAGTGTGTGATAGAATCTTATTTTCCAAAAAAAAACTGCCCTGATAATGAATTAACTTCAAAGACTGGGCACCACCATTATTTTCAGGCAATAGTTGTTAGAAATACCTCTGGCCTCATTTTCAAATGAAAAACAGATTAGAATGTCTTAAGCACCACCATTCTTGGTTCTTACAGTCAGACATTCTTCCATATATTAAGCATTACTTCAAAATTAAGTATTAGTTGCAGCTGCACCAGAAGAGCCTTTTTAACTGACAAAAAGTCATAATAATGTAACAATCTTTTTCAGCTATTTTGTGTTGTTCTCTTATAACTTGTTTGTTTTATACTTTGTACAAGAGTGCCGTTTTGCGCGGAGACAGCGACAGGGAACTATATACCCTATTCAAACATCATATACTCTGCTTCAAAACACATGGTCACTCGATCGCCGATTATCTACACTTGTCGCTGCCTGCTCAGGTATTTATGTCTTGCTGCTCAATAAGAGCTCGCGAATTTGAATGACGCTGTGTGGAGTTTATTTTGAGTGTGAGTAATGAGATTTAAATACAGTGTAGTGCCATTACACGCATGCAAAATCTATGACTGTCACATTGACACTGAAATATCCAAAGTTAAAAAAGTTCCAATGATAAGAAGCAGATGTATTTGTTCATTATTACTTTTTCCATATCCTTTTAAATTTGGCTTATAACAATTGTTACTTTTGATTTTGGGGAAACAGAAAACCATGGTGTCCTTAGTTATTCATTCCACTGTGTTGGAATTAATTAATGTTTTTAAAACTAATGACGTTTTACATGCTAAAAATATTATGTTTAAGCACTTTATATGAAGTCAAGTCATTTATTTGGAAATAGAATATGCAGATAATTGGATTTTTTTGCAAATTTCGCATGTTTGCATTATTCATATAAGACAATGGAATATATGGAGGATTCTGAACTATATCAGCTAATCTGAGACAAATGTATATAGTGTTCAATTTAGTTTTTTCCCCTAATACATTATTGTATGAAGCCTTTGAACATTAAATAGGGGAGAATTAGTATCAGTGCATGTGTAGTGAAAAAAGCAATTTTTACGTTAAACCTACACATGTTTTCTTTTGTTCATTACTTCAGATTCTACAGGAAACAAAAATTATTGTTTCAGTTTCTCTTACCTGTAATGTTAAAAGGGAATCATATATCCCAGCACTGATGTGTTAGATGGTACTTTTAATGTGAGAAGTACAAAACGCAATTTTATATACTTACATTTTCTATGCAGTGTTCACCTTTTTATAGGCGTTTTACATATATTTGAGCCATACTTTAGATTTTTTTATTAAGTGGTTGTTTACACTATTGTCTTTGTATATGCATTACCTTAATAATATATGTGAAGCTTTGAGTCAAAAATATTTATTTACTTTGACGTAGTCTTGGAAATAAAGTTTTCTGTGCTAAACTGTGTCTATTTTAAGTAGCGTTTTGTACTGGCATGTTCTGTCTTGTCATTTTCAAAATCATTGAACATATAAAGCAGCTTAGACATTTGGAAGTAGACAGCTTGGTATATTCAACTTTCTTTAAACCAGGTCTGACAGAGAATTTTGTGTGTGGCCAATAGCAACAAGCGAATTTGAACGACGCGCGAAGGCGTTTTGACAAGTAGAAAATGGGATTTGAAAACACATTAAAATGGTAACAAATGATTTGTTCTTATTCACAACAAATATAAGGGCCAAATGAACAGCCATTCCCTGAGGATGCCTTATTTGTCTTGACACTTGAGAATGACGAGAGTTGTCCAATATCAATGAAGATGAGCTTTCTTTGGATAGACATAGCCAAAATGGATACATTCATCTAGGAAATTAGAGAAATACGCTCCTTCCTTGAGAATGATTTTTGACGGCAATGTCACTCCCATTGTGCCAATCCTGTCAAATCAAGGCGCTCTCGCAATGTCTCACACCTTAAATGAAAGACTGATTATAGGTCCTAAAACAGAGCTTCAGTGCCAGGTATTTAATTTGATCCAAACTACAGTAGTGCCTACAATATACATAATTTATTAAAAAAGAAAATAAACATTTATCAAGTTCCTAAAACTAAACAACATAATATTCTATTCCACATCATTAGATTGTAGGTGACACCACCTCAGTACGGATAACTAAATACTGATTCACACCTTTCCTCAGAACAAAAATAAAACTGCCACTGACATTTGAGTGCAAAAAAATTAAATATATTTCTTTGGTCAGCAAAGAACAGTTGGGTGAGATAAAAGGCACATATTTGCGGTTGGAAAATTTGATTTAATCCAACATCCCTGTGTTTTCCAGCAGAGGAACAGCATCCTCTTCGTCTGACTGAAATTTCTTGTCCGTCTTACCTAAAAAACAACTTCCTTGTCGATTATACACTACACCAAGATTTGTTAGTTGGTGCTCCTCCTCAAATTTTAGACTGAAGGATAGCTATCCAAAATAAGGGGTACTTTTTTCAGAACGAAAAAAAAATTGAACTATCATTACTATCAAAGAGATGTAATCCAATCCTAATTTTCGATGACGCATCGGAAGGTTTCTGGTGGTGTTTGGCGACCGTTATCGCGCCATGAAATTCAATTGTACTGCTTGCAAGTACAGTCTGTAAAACCGTTACTGTGATAATTTGAGGATCAACTAATTTTTTGGTACAGACCAATACATTGGTCTCCTAGACCATAGAGGACCCATTGAAAAAATGGCGTCAAGTAAGTTTACCCTGCCCTTCCCACGCAACGCCGTCATCATTTCGTAAAGGATTATGTTCAGTACAAGTTAGACCTGAGAAAAAAGTTAGTTAACATGTATGACATAAATTAAATGGATCAAGTCAGTCAAAAAGGCCCATGCAAGTAGTCCCTTTTCCCATATCGGATCACATGACGCGATAGTAATGATAGGAAAGGACACTTGTAGAGAGCAGAAGCAGAGAAACGCACTGAAAAAATTTTAAACGCAAAAGTGTAGGGAAAATATATATGTGGAGTATGTCTAATACGTGCGTGGAATTACCGGTTTTGGGAGCGTATAACTATACTATCATCAAACAATTAAGATATACCTTCTCTCAACACCTACAACCCCAAGCCCCCTCAAAAAATTTTCTAAAAATGGACCGATCTAAGCTTTTTCATCATTAGTCCAAGAAAATTTCATCCAAATTCTAGCGGTACTTTATAGACGGCCCAAGGTTTTTGGTGCTGTGCTTGTTATAAAACATCCAAGAAACAATATCTAATTATAGAAATTTGTTGCGATTATAATAACTTCCTAAAATTAGAAATCAGCACTACTCGGGTTGTTCGCCAAATACCACTCGAGAAGCATCGAAAATTGGAATTAAAGAATGAGCCACGATAACTCCTGCGACTCTTGAAAAGTAAATTTTTCAAATATGACTGTCGTTTGTTGATGTTTTGTTTGATGAGAAAGATAACAGCACAATTGGTTACCTTTTAAACTTTTCAAAAAAGTATCTAACTGAATCACCCATTGTATTTATTGGATAACTCATTTTGGGAACATAAATTTATCATAAAAAATAAATATTATGGCAGCCAAAATTTGCAGTTTCGGACATTTTAGACAAAACAATAAATATCCTTGTGTGAAAACATGATTTACAAAAACTTCTAGAGATCGATGCCAAAAAATCTCTGTATAATACCTATTTTACAGTCAGCTAGGTGCATCAGAAATCCGATCAGATACATGTGCACTAACAAAACAGTTTTGTTAGTTTCCGACAAAAAAAAATCGGCTGTTTTGTTAGTGCGCATGCTTATGATCACACCAGCATTTCCTTTTGTCGTTAAGAACAATGAAAAAGTGTTCAAAGGTGTATAAAATCAACTTTGTGCCAAAACTAACAAATATTCGTGATGTGCAAGTCTGTGTGCTACTAGCTGGCTATATCTATCAAACCAATATCAAGCTAGCAAAAACTTAGTTAACTGACTGTAACTTTGAATCGACCGACTTGATGTACAACCATTCCATCAATATGTCAGCATTTTTTTTAGCATGATGGTAAATTCCATGTGTTTTCAGAAACCGCTGTGAATATATCATATATGTTTTAGAATTAGCGATACAGGATAGGGAAAAATAATAAATTGGCGATCTTTACAAGACAATTTATGTAAAACTGTACAATAGTTAACAACTTTTTTGTACACACAAGCCTAAATAGGAATAATAAAGCAATTTCAAGATTGATGGTAAGTAGTTAGTAGGCAGAGACATAACACTAATTCTACTTCCACAGATCCATATATCAAATGCAGTTCATATATAGTTCGGTAATAAAGAAAGTCGTTAAACTAGGGTTGCTTATACACAGCATGTCGCAAATATACTTTTACTTCCTTTTTACAGGAAAAGCTTATGTGATCTAACTCCGTGAGTACTTCTACTCTTCTGATATCCTCATGGTTCAATGTAATGTCAGCAACCACACATTTTCTGGTTTAGTCAAAAATATGCTGAAGACACTACCTTCAAGTCTATTTGCAATAGTTAACCAATAGGCATCGCTAGTTTGATTCTCTTTTCTATTATCAAATGGCTTTATGGGTGCAGATAGTGTTATTGTATCTGGGCCTATTATGGATGGAATGAATTGACTTTTTGATGACGACAGTGATAATTAAAGTGGACAGAGACAATATATTTGAAGAAACTAATGCGATAAATTTTGGAACACATGTTTCTATGTGCCATTTTGAGAAGTGTTAAACCTCAAATTCATTATACATATATAATTTGATGTTAGTCGGCCTGTTTTCAATAAAAGTACCATCGACATTATAGTCTAATTATATTAGACGAAAATACCCTTGGTTTGCGAAATAATTGTAAAGTCTGGTTTTATTGATGAAAGTTGTTCAGGGGGTGGACCATAAAACTGGTACCCCAATTTTTGTGGGAAAAATTTTTATTTGACAACAAAGAATGAAAAAACGTGTTTGTTGGGATTCAATCGATAGTGTTGATAGGAACTAAACAACTCTTCAAATAAGATTTTTAGATATTTATGAGACCCACAGAATGCGACCACACGTAAAAAGATCCGACTTATAGTAAAAAAGTTATGGCCGAAAACCGAGGCAAGATGCAGGTTTTAGCACTTGTTGGTAATCCCACGATACTTCCACGTAGACACTTGAAATTCTTCAAATTCGTAGGCTTCATACTTCTAACGACAAAAAAATTGGAATCGATTGATCAACTAGTTTTTGAGAATTTATAATTCTTTATCCCCTTCGTTTTTCGCATAAAAATAATAATTATCTTTCGGAACGGTTTATGATTCATGTCGGCAAGGTAAACTCGTGTATTTCGCTATAAAATGCCCGTTTAACGAACACTATAAATTGCTCAGTAAACTAGTAGTGATGGCCGGAAGACAGGTGTTTTGGGATAAACAATTAGAAATTCTCAAAAACTACTTGATCGATCGACTCCAATTTTGTTGTGGTTATTTCATTTATCATCCCTTATTGCTGCGACGGTTACACAACTACAAAATGAATTTTTTTAATCTTTGTAATGCACCACTTTTTGTACAGCTATTTAAATTCTGGAATACGAGTTTGTCTTGGAAACAATCAGATTCGTGATGAAGCTTCTGTTCATACTTTTTATAATTTTTACCTAAATACAAATAAGAAAATTGATTCTATTTTTTCAAAAATGATTCGTTGTACGAATCCAAAATAAGATGTAGAAGAAAAAACCTATTTCTAGTGTGTTATTTCCAACTAAAACTCAGGATACATTTTTTGTTTCATTTCTGTAATCCATAAAGCTTAACATAATGATGTGTCGAAATCTAAGTCCAAATCCACATATGAGATAATGAATTCAGTGATTATACTAGTATTGTACGATAGAGTAAGAAGTGAATAAGTTAGATGAGAAAAAATCTTGCGGTACATTTTAGGGTTGTATATGCTCAATCTATCTAATCTAAGTCTCACATGTACGTTTGTTCGGTTTTATAAACCTGTATAATTAAATAAAATACATAAATATAAAAATATATCGTTTACGATCACTTCGTTTGCGCTATATATGTGTTACAATACAAAACATTCCACTCAAAATAAATATACTGTAAGTATACCAGGGTGAACGGTATACAGACACGTAATAAGGAACTAGCAGCTGAGAAAAATAGTCTGGATATAAGTAGCGTAAAATTTTAGATGATTCGATTGCACTATTTTTGAAAACAGAAAGCAAAAACGACAAAGTAACCCACCACATTTTTGTGAAGAACAAGCAACTCGATGCATATTCCGATGTGGATTGTGTAGGCATTTCCAAACGTAAAACTGATAAAACATTTCGTGAAATTATGTATTTGATAACATAACACCAAGCAGCTATCACAAGTTGCATTATGAGTCTAATTTTGATAAATATATTGGTAACTAAACAGGGTGTTCGAGAAATAGACGGAGACATTATATACGGTCATTCCTTGTTAAAAAACATGAAAAAAAAAGTGTCAATAAACATGGGTCCGGAAATGCAGAGTTTTCAAGATACAGGGTGATACATTTAATTTTTTTTCTTTTTATTAATATCTTAAAACATATTTACTCAATTCTGTTGAAATTTGGCAATATTATTTGTTGAATTAAGAGGCTAATTTAGCCCTAGATACATTAAAATTATTAGGTCCCGGGGGCACCTTAGTGAATATTATTGGGAAAAAAATCTACGCCACTGCATTTGTTGTTTGATTAGGCATCTAGCAATATAATTTTTTTGCCTCTTGTATTTTTTCGTATCTCACTTCGTTTTCGGGAAAAAGTAGAAACCATTTTATTGTATGTCACTGGACAAAATTGGTTCTTTATTTTTACACAAAAAATCATTTCTACATAGAGGTTTGATATTTGAAAAGAATTATTCACGTAATTTTATTTGCGAAATTTCTCTGAAAAATATAAAATTGTTTTTTTTAAATTTGTCACCCTGTATCTTGAAACCTCTGCATTTCCGAACCCATGTTTATAGAAACTTCTCCGTGTATAATGAGTTAAGATCCATTGACATCTCTCATGTATATATGTGCCATGATCTATAACGTATTACCAAATTTTTGAAAAAATGGATACCTATTTCGCATAATTCTGCATACTGAATACTGTTTGAAAGCGTTCAAAAATACCTACACATTCCTCAAACTCCCAAGCAAAAGAAATTACCAAACCTTGAAAATAAAGTTTGGCACAACGACTATGAAATATGCAAATGAGTATTAAACACCAACATTCAACATCTATATTATAATTTTGTCATGTTTTGTTTTGAATTTATGATGAAAAACTGGCGCGTCACGGAATTCTGAGAACTGTAGCCATAATGCTGAAATTTTGATTTCTGAAAGATAGCTTTTTTATTTTTGATGAAAAAGTGCACCATTGATAATTGTTTTATTCAATATCATCTATTATATATTTCCAGTCGTGCGTAAATGTATTCTTATATTAGATATATTTTGTTCTGCTTATTCTAGCAATGCTCGAAAAATGCCGCTCAATTTCTTAGTTCAGTATTTATCTTAGTGACTGTTTCTTTCTCTCTGTGTGTGTAGTTTGGAATGATCGATGACAGTTCCAGAATCCATGACATCATTCTGTCTTCATCAAACAACAAACAAAAGGCAGTTTCATAAATTACCATTGAATCTATAATAAGCTATCTACAAAGTCCTACTGTTCGGATAGGAAAAACAGCGAAGCGTTTCAGTAATGTCTACTTTTACTTCGCGTTTTGACAGATTTTGTGTACTTAGAACTCGTACCGTTTTTCTCAGACGGTGACTGGACGAAACTTTTTTGCGGCCCGCCGGGGTACGGTATCCGGAACAGCTCCACGTGCAGGTAGTCGCAGATCTCTTGGCAGATTTGACTGCAGTACCTTACGAGGTCTATCACGACCCATATCTGCAACAAATTCAATCACCGCTGGATCAAAACAAAAAAACAGTGATAATGTTAGTAAATTTTCCAAACATTGATCAAGTCTTGTAATACAAGCTGGGTCATAGTAATTCTATTCTTTACTGAAACCGTATGAAAATTCAAATTTGCGTTACATTGAAGGGAGCTCCGACATAGGCATCATTCTACATTAACTTACTGTTTCAATATTTTTTCCTTCAGGTATTTACAATCATTTCTATAACTGTCGAACGCGGAGGTACCACCCGGCGAATCTCTAAGGCGGTGCCAGAATATGTGCATGTAGCATGCACACGTGTCCGCTCGCTAGAGCCCGTGTGGCGTCCCCCTTTCCCTTGTAACCCACTATAACCCCACGATATCCAATAGGTGTTTAGCCCGTAGGCCTTCGTGGTGGTTCAAGTATGAAAAAATATTTCTAAACGTCCACAAAATACCTCCGATTCAATCATGTACGATTTTTAATAACAGTCTCGACAGAAAAAAATTGCAATATTCGACGCGACGTACCATTTGCACAACCGCACCATCCATTTATACGTGTCATTTAAAATTTAGACTTTCCGGAGGGTATATGGTAGGCAACAATTAGAAAGCTTTTCTAGTAACAAATGCAGCAAAGCCTTAAAGTAGGTTAGGATAGGTTTCTTGTGAGTGCATCAATAACGATCCTCCACTTCGACTCTGGTCTATTGTGGCTCACACCTATTTATATTTCCCCCAGTAGCTCCGACCTCCTGAGGAAGTCGATCAACTTGTTTGGAGAAATATCCTTCAGGTCTTTTGCATGGAGTATTACGTCTCCAAGTATGTTGTACCTGATTGTGGCATTTGCAGGGCATCTTCACAATACATGCCTGGCCGTTTCATCTCCCCCCATGCACAGTCTGCACTCAGCGTCTTCCGCCAAGCCCAGCATGCTCATATGGTGACGTAATTTGCAATGACCAGTATACAGTCCTACTAGAGCTTTAAGGCTATTCCTGTTCAGCTGTAGCTAAGAGTCTGTTACCTTCTTTGTCAAGATTGGCATAGTTGGCTTAGCATGGGTTAACCCTGCTAATCCCTCCCAGTATTGATTATTTGTTTAGCCGTATTGTATGCGATCCCAATCGCTGGCTCAGGCCATATGAAGGGTGTGCTAGCCCCACTCTTTGAAAGAGTGTCAGCTGTCTCCTTTCCCTCTAGACCTGTGTGTCCTGGTATCCATAAGAGATTGACTTCATTTCCCTCTCCTAAGCCACCGAGAGCTTTTTTGCTTTTTCCGCACTAATTTCAATGTCGAGTAGGTGGAGTCAAGTGCTTTAAGTGCGGTTTGACTAGCTGAAAAAATAATTATAGTTCTGTGTCTCAGTTCAGCTCTGTCTGGAAGATCTATGTCCAGGTTCATAGGCTAGCAGATTTTTTAATCTTTAGCTTCGGCACGAAGATACCAGCTCCAACACCTACCTCGGTCTTGGAGCCTTAAAGTAACCCGGGATATTAAGTTTCGGAAAATTCGGAGTGGGCGAAGCCCGACTCTGCATACTAGATCACAAGGTCTATGTTTTGTGGTTCGACTGTGTCAGTATCCAAATCAAGCGCCGCGTTGTATGTATAGCTTATTTACAAGCTGATTTGAAAAACTGAAGTTGGTACGTTCCTATAGCAATGACGAAGCTATCGATTTGATATAAGTTTACGGCGAGTGTCTTCAAGATTCTGCTGATTCTTCGCGATATGTTTCCGTCCCGAGCTGGTAGGGTTATTTACATCGTGCAAAGGCAGTTGAGGTGGTTACGGTAGAAGACCTAGACAGTCCCGAAGTTACAAATTTACGAACAGCAAACTTCTGTTTTTGAATCAAACTGCAACTTCAACTGTATTTTCGAGCAAAACAAGTAACAGGGCAGTACTTCAAATTCCTGATCAAAAGAAGAACGTATTTTTATAATTTACGTTTTTGTTACCATTTTATCGTACGTTAGCTTTGTTATTTCAAACGTAGTTGTTTCTGAAAAGGAAAGCCCCAACTTTCAGGAAACCCTATATAGTTTCAAATAATTTTTTGAAATCCTGTTTTTTTTGGTTATAATCAAGAGTAGAAAATAAAAATTGAAAAAACATTCTTACCAGACATAACCAAAGGACGTAATATTCATTTATGAACGTGTTGAAATACTGATTTAAAAACAGCATTGTGGGTCCGAGCAGTGATGAATCCGTATATTCCATTTCACTTTTTGTCATGTGAGCCACCTAAAAAGAGAATAACTTACATATGCCACGCAAACATGTGTTCAATTTCGAAATACTAATAGTTTTGCAGCTCTCATAATCTTGAAGATCTTCACGAAAACGTATCTGACCCATTTGTCCAATAATAATCTGTATTAAGCTCATGAGATTTATTGATATTTTGATAATCTCACCCGCATTTATTTGATTTGTACTCACCACAAGTTTATTGGTCACTTTCGTAGCAACCAATCCAAACGCCAATATATACAATGCAGGATGATTTTCATATATTTCTTGTGTGGATTTCTTATATATTATGAAAGCAGGGACGAGCACCATAGAAAATGGTATTACCGGTGACAAGACGCTGGTACCCTGTGGAATTACAGTATTGTATAAAATCTATAGCGCTTTGAGATTGAAGATCTGAATAAATTTTCAGAATTTGTGCCTGGCCTCTAATTAATGGAAATTAACAGATACATGCTAAGGTTCAATTTACGGTAAGGCATGGAAATACAAAGGGTACTATAAAAGTTTTGCAATATGACTTAACAAACGGAGACAGGAGGCTGCATGTTGAGACATGTCCATGAGTGCATAGTACCCACCAGCAGCACGTGTGTTGATTGAGTTGTTCATTCGTATCGACAGCGTAAAGCGCGGACTATGGCATCGTGGTCACGTAGTGAGATAAGCGAAGTTTTGCGGTACAACTTTACGCGTGGTTTAAGCATAGACTAGTGCTTAGAAGAAATGACGCTTGCATTAAAGAATGATTGTCCTCATCGTACGACTATAATCAGGTGGTACAGAAAATTCCAAAGGGGCAATTTCACTCTGGACGACGCTAAGAGGGAAAAATACCGCGAACGTCAGTAACAGAGGATAACATTACTGCTGCGATGAAAATGCTTGACGAAGACCGACATACCAACATATAGAGGAGACTTTACACCTTCATGCACCAGCAATTCATTCAATTATGCATGACCATTTATACGGAAACTTTGTTCTCTCTGGGTACCGCATAGTCTGACGGAAGAGCAGAACACTCGTCATACGCCTTGGTGCCGGAAGATGCTGAAAATATTTGATAAGGGACAAATCTCGGTATGTGAATAGCATCGTGACAGGTGACGAGACTTGGCTTATTATTACGATGTGCCGACCAAGGCTCAAAACACAGTTTTGGTTTTGATGATGACACACCAGTAGCTGACAGAAAATCCCGATCTGTTAAGAAAAAAATGATAGCTGTAATTTTCAAATCGAGCGGGATTCTGGAGCGTGTCGTTTTGAACACAAAGAAGACAGTCACAGCTCAGTGGTACACGGAACAGTGCCTGTCTAAAGTCATAGAGTCTATGAAAAACCTGCGACCAAAGCCAAGAATGAAGACAAATCCTGCACCGAGTATTTGACCACTACTGGACTGAAACTTATTGAGCACCCTCCTTACAGTCCAGATCTTGTTCCCTGCGACTGCACTGTTTCCGCATGTGAAAATGAAGCTAAAAGGAAAGCGGTTTTCTAGCGATGAGGTCCTTCTGAGGGCTTGAGGCGAGAAATAAATAGCGCTGTATTGCAAAACTTTTATAGTACTCCTTGTAATAATGCTGACAATATTTCCAGATATGGCCTATCATTTTATTGCCATTTCACTGTTATGGCGCATCAAAATGGACAATATTTTTCTAGCTCGAATCTCGCAGGCGACATATTCTCGCATGCCACACCTTAATTTATTTTTTTGATTCTGTCATCATTTATGACTATGGGGTCACTTTTGTTAAGTCATTCGATTTTTAAACGGCTGTTGGAAAAATGTGGGCAATACCAGAGAAAAAAGCATTTTGAAGCAATTCACACTCTTTGCCATTTGCCTTTTTCTAGAACAGTAAAAAAATATACAACGCGTCAGTCATTATCGCAAATGTCGATAGCGAGATTGAGGAAGGCAATTTATGAGTTTCGTGCGACATTTTAGCTATCTCGCATGCTACATTCAAAAACATCCCCAGGCCTTCAGACTATTAGGAAGTTTCCTATAGTCGAAAATACTGCAAGCTTCACTAGCATATAACTGAACAAACCTGAAAGAATTTAAATATCTTAAAATTTAAGGAAGTTATGACATGTTCTGTGTTGGGTGCTGTATTTTTATGTAATGCTGCCAGATTGCCTAATTATTGGAATCCAACTCAATGCAATGCAAGTAATGTAAGCTGCTGCGATACGTACAATTCCTTCAGTCATTTTCGTTTGATTTTGATAAGAAATTGTGTCCAGGTATATGTCTACAGTTTTCAGAAAATATTGCTAAGATATTTGTATAGCTGATATATCAGAGATATACTTCCGGGCCATAAATATTGCATGTTTAGATGCTCCATTTGAGATAACTGACATGATGAGTAAATGGTTATACTCAGTTGTACTTAGCTGCTAATGCCCGGTTGCATGGCCTTTGTTAAAACTGCCATTTGGCAAAGGTGATTCGAATACTAATGTCAAATTAAATTTTTGTTTCACCACTCCAATTTGGTGGAATCTTGGCTAAGGTAAAGTTACATCTGATAGGCTTGTACTTTAGTAAACAGTTTTAGGGAAATTTCGTCTGCAATTACAAATCAGTTGGTTGAATTGGTTCTCAGTTTTCTTGCACAGCAAAGTTATACGAATAAAAAGGCAAACCCAGTGATACGAGGTTTGTCCGGAAAATACCTATAACAGTGGAATACTAACTTTATTTTACAATTGTTTACACTGTTGATACGATCGCTGAAAGTCTTCAATTGTGAGGCTCTTCATTTGCCGTGTCTAAATCGTGTGAATAAACCGGGTGTTATGTCACGGTGATTGAGCTTCGGGACAAAAACTCAGGCACAACGAGAGACGTGTCAGAAGACGCGTTGTCGTGATGTAGGATCCACCTGCCCCCTTGTGCCAAATCCGGTCGAACTTGGGCCACACGAGCTCTGATATGACGCAAAACTTCAATGTAGAAATTTCCGTTCACTGTCTGTCCGGGAGGGACAAATTCTGGTGAACAATGCCCCGAGAATCAAAGAAAACAATAAACATTGTTTTCACATTTCACCTTGTTTTTTTTGTTTTTTGTTCTCGGTTCCCCTGCTTGCTTCCACCCCATGCTTTCGAGATTTCAGCTCCTCATCGAATTCATAGAACCAATACTCGTCTCCAGTGATGGCCTGGTTGAGAAAGTCCCCCCTTTCCTCTGCTCCCAGCCAATCCTCACAGCAAGCAACCCTCCTTGCTTTCTGTTCTGGAGTCAAAACCTTCGGAACGATTTTCGCGCATAATTTTTTCATTTGAAGTCTTTCTGTCAGAATTTCTTAGCTGATTTTTATGGGGATTGACAGTTCCTCAGCTTTCATTCTAACAATTAATCGACGGTCTTTAAGAACACAGTCCCGAATTCGTTCAACATTTCCTTCAGAGCTCAATGTGGAGGGGCGTCCTGAGCGTTAGTCATCTTTCACATCTCGGCCTTCCCGAAACCTTTTCAACCGCTTGTTGGCTAGAACTAAGTATAGAGGGGATTGCATGCAGAGAGGGAACTACCGGGCCACCCCGCCACAACGCCCCAAAATTTGTATACGTATTTTCCGAACAAACCTCGTATAACCACATGTATTTCTAATTTGATTCATTTACTGTCTTAAAAACATTCAAGTATGCGCATCGCTAAAATGCATTCAAACAATGTGGTAAAATGCACCAAGCTCCATGGTAAAACTTGAGTGTTGTTTCTGATATGAGAAATATTATCACGCGAGCTTTTTAGAATCCAATGAAAAACTTGTAAGAGCTTTCCATATCTGCAGTTTCTATATGCCAAGAACTTGGCAAACAGTGGTCAGTATGTCAAATAATAAAAATGTAACTTTCAGGGTGACGTTTAAGGTTAGATAATCCACCTAGTAGAGAAATATTTCGCTCCAGCTCAACTGTCTGTGCCATTTTAGTTTTAACTGTATCTGGTGCAACAAAATCATTGAACTTAAGGTTCAGATAGCTTCAAGTTGACGTTAGCAAGGCGGTGCATCCAGACATAGGAGATGTCATCTGAAAGGACCGCTTTGAAAATTCTGAAAACCTAGATTTATTGACAGAAGTCACGTATGTGAAACAGTTTATACTAAGCTGTGCTAGATGCCAGCGGCAGGGCTATTATGTAAAAAACGTAAAAAAAACAACGAAATGTCATCTGGCAGACTAGGTAGTTTTTAGTGTGCAAATACAGGGTGCGTCATCTATTACTTTTTTTCTATTTGAAAAATCAACATGCTTTTTACGAGGTGAAAAAATGAATTTTTTTATTGATGAAGGTTGGTTTATGCCATTTATGTATAAAAAATAGCATGTCATGTGACTACCGCGGCTTCGTTTACAGGCCAACATCCGAACATCAAAATTTTCAATGACTTTTCCCAGAATAATCGGGTCTATGGCCGCAATTTCAGTCCGAATATTGCGCTTTAGGTCTTGAATTATCCGGGGACCATTCGCATATACTTTTCCTTTCAAAAATCCCCAAAGAAAATAGTCAAGAGGTGTTAAATCGCACGATCTCGGGGGCCAACTGACATCTGAATTCCGTGAAATTATGCGGTCTTGACATTTTGTGTGCAATAAGGTGATTGTTTGGCGAGATGTGTGAGCCGGTGCTCCGTCTTGATGAAACCAAAGATCGTCGGCACCAATACGGTCCAATTGTGGCCACAAAAAGTCTGTTAACATGCCGCGATAACGTTCCCCGTTGACTGTAATGGCGTTTTCTTCGGCATCTTCAAAGAAGATTGGTCCAACGATGCCACCAGCCCATAATCCGCACCAAACAGTCACTTTTTCAGGATGGAGAGGTTGCTCATGATATTGGTGTGGATTTTCAGCGCCCCAGAATCTGCAATTTTGCTTATTTACGTACCCATTGAGGTGAAAATGAGCCTCATCAGAAAAGAGTACTTTGGCCGAAAATCAGTCTTCTCTTTCCAGCATCCAATTAACAAAAACACGCCGCTGTTGATGATCTGCCGGCTTCAATTCTTGTGTTAGTTGGATTTTTTATCAGGCGTAAAGTGGTCTCACTAATTCCCAATTGTTGCGAACGGTGCTTAGTCGAGGTGGTTGGATCTTCTCGCACCCTTTCACTCACTGCGGCTATGTTTTCACGAGTACGAGCTGGACGAGGATGCTGGTATGGTCTACGACCTTCAGCTGAACCAGTTTCCTCAAAACGATTAACAATCCAACGAATTCCAGGCTCTGTAGGGCGTCCATGTCGGTATATTTCGACTGTTTTCGTAATAAGTTTGGATAACCAAAATGCATTGTTGTGTTGTATAAATAGCATACCTTTGACAGTTCATTTATGCATACCACATGACTTTTGACTCAGATGGCAACACATAAACTTATAGGTAAAAAAAAGTAATAGATGGCGCACCCAGTAGTTCATTCGACGTTTGTTCGCTATGATCGCTGTTCGCTAACGTTTAAGCATCACGTACAGCTACAAAACGAGTTCACAACAAGTGTACAACAGGTTTTGCTCAGTTAACATCTTGTAGAAAAACCTACGTTGTCACAAAAACTTACTCTAAGCAGCTGAGTGCAACTGAACGTAAGCATGTTGAACATCCCTAAATGACATATGACGTGCAACAAATATGCGATCTTCTGCCGCAAACCTTTTTTTTCAAAAATTTTTCCGCTGATATAATTTAAAGTTTTACCGGAGTTAGGTGTTTTTCTTCTATGATAAAATTTCGTTTCATTTCAAACAGCAACAGAAAAATAAAGATTCAATTGCTGCTCTAATCTTCGAATCGCATGTTTTCAACTTGAAAGTTCTTGGAGTAAATAGTGCTTTACCTGAACAAAATACTAGTACGAACATGATAAAACGAAGAATCTAGCATTCATGTCCATCGCTAGGTTTGAAAAAAGCAAGTATGGAATAGCATACATACAGAAAGACACACGTAGTGTTAATATACATTAATTTACATACACCACCACCACTACCACGTGCAGGTACGTAGACATCTTGAACTCATAAAGTAAAAGTAAGTATGTTACATACTGAGTGCTAATAAAACAATATGAATAATGCACAAAGAGGTGTCAAATGCAAATAGTTCGCCAAAGCTTGACACATTTGCGGCCCCAACACCAAAAAAGCAGAAAGCCCCTCCTCCTCTCTCCAACTGTGAATGACAGTTTCGCTGAGCTGAGCGGATCCATGTCGCCAGCAACACTAAACTAAACTAAGTATTCTCAAAGCAATACGCTGGCTGAACTGAATTTGCTTTCTGTCTCTGTGATCATGACAATCGTACACAATGTTGTTTCATGCTTGTTAGCAGTCATACCGCATGGTATAGGTCCAAGCCTCGGAGACAAAGCAAACAAGCGGATAAAGTCTTCTGAAAAACTCAGTACGTAATGCGCGAAGGGGTGACAAGTGCCACATATGCATAGTCAGCAGGCAGGCAGCAGCGGTGGCCGCAGTGGTAGACGCTTCCTCTACTGACCAAATCCACTTGTTTCCTTTCCGCTGTCTGATGCCAAAACATGACATATACCGTACTGGTGATTGCTAACATAAAACTACGTTGTATGCAGTTGGGCATGGTCTCAGAGATGGAAAGCAAACACCCATTCATGTTATAAGAAGTGAATGGTTTAAGTGTAACATAAGGTTGACGTTTAAGTGTACGCCCTAGTTATTTGAGACATTTCTGATGCACACGAGTAGTGCATAATATTTGACTGGATTACTGTTTAACCTTTGCTACGAACAATGAAATTCAAGATGCCTAAAGGTGTAAGAGTGCTACTAAAACAGGTTTTGGGCTGATTCTTACGGCAACCGTTGATCCGTTTTTACCCACTCCACCGGTGAATATGACGGAGATATTCGCTTGAGCCAGCAAAATAGCGACACCGCAAGCTATCACCAGCGGTATCATTTTCAGTTCTACGTCCAATGTTGGCAACTTTAAACATATACAATTGTCAATTCGAGAACAGGCCACAAAGTTAATGTTCTGAATTTCCATTATTCACACACTCTGACTGACTTTCAAATATGTGTAAACAATGTAAGTTCTGAATAAATTTCTGACTTTCAAACAAAAATGCTTGTTTCAGTGAGATCATGCCTTACTGACAATAATCTTTTTTGAATCCCATTAGATCCTCTTTCACTCGCATCTGAAACGGGCAGGGAAGTAGTGTAATTGCTAAAATGAATCTCAAGTTACTTATCATCATTTTCTTCTCACAACTAAAACACTTGAAGGTAGAGAACAAGTCCTATCTATGCTAAAGCTTATATGTCAGATCTTACAAAGTATTTCCTTGTAGTATAGTTCCATTTTTTAACTTATAACAATATTTAGCAAAACATATGCAATGAGAAAAATTACATTTTATTTGCAACAGATAAAGAAAACGCAATGTCCCAAGCAAGGATCCTCTAGCGATAAACTTTTGCGACTGAAATGGTTATACTTATAGTATAACATTAAACTGTCAGTAAGACATTCCTCAACACAGACCAAGCATTATTATTAATTACAACATAAGAGGGCTGATCCAAAGAAAAAACTCAGAGAGCTCCAGCCACACTGGAAGGTGCGAGGCAAAATTCGGCAACACCGTTTCGCGCGAGGTGTATGTTACTTTTATCTATGTCCATTTCAGTCTATTAAACGTTTAACCTGGTAGGTTTTTTAACATTATACAGGTTTTCCTATTAACTGTTACCTTTGAACAGCTAATATTCACTTCATGATCAGTTGTAGCAGGCGCGCAATGAACAGTGCACAAGTTGACATTTTGCCGATTTTTTTTGAAATCATGTAGGTTTTTTACGTAATAACCCTGCGACACTAAACTTACTGCACCACTTTCGGATGTGGTGTTGAACGGACATACACTTGTCGCCAAAACAACTTTGCTGCTGTCGATGAATATCTACGGGTGGAGTCCCTTTGGCGTGCGAAAACACAGTTAAAAATGAGAGGGTCCATGTTGGACGGCTGTTGATCCAAGAATGAACGACGCAGCGAAGAGCGGTCGGGGGAAATAGAGAGTAGGGCAAGTCGCACGCAGCGGTGTTGCCAGGTTTCGCCTCGCACCTTCCAGTGTGGCCGCAGTTCTTTGACCTTTATTTCTGGATCAATTCTCATACATGTCAAATAGTAATTACTTTTACTTTGCCACTTGGTATAAATGAACATTGGGCTTTTTCTGGCTCTGAAGTTTTGCTGGATACCTTACCTAATACCCTATGCGTCCGAGAGCAAACTCATGCTTAGGTTATGACAGTAGCACAACATTTTTTGGCAACTGCAAGGCTTCAACAAAGCATAACTAAAACAAAAACGTATGCGCGTTGCGTTGTTTCAATTCCTTAATGCTCCAACAAACCTGGGTAATAATATTCCTAATGTAATTACATAACAACCCAACAAAGACATGTTCTAGCTTAGTATAGAAATTTTCAGAAGCATTGCTACGTCTGATTTGTGTTAAAAATCTTTCGATTTAACTGTCCACTCAAAAATAATTTGAATACTCGTAACAGTCTTGCTAGTGTGACTTTGTCTCTGTAACTTTATGTAACTTTTTGGTATGTGAATGTCATAAATTCTGTTGAAAAAATCTCATCATTACTAAGGTAAATATTGTCAAACAGACATACTGGTGTGCATACTTATTAAAAATTGCTGTTAAAAAAATATGGTATATCAATTAAGTAACTTTTCTCGCTGGATAAAAACCGGGTATTCACAAATCACGCACGTACTCAACCGCTGGTTGCGTTTTAATTTTGAGCATTTGTTAGATAGACAAACGCGCGCATCATTAGGTACACATTTTACGACGTTTATCAAAACAAGTCAACCAATTTTGAAAGTTCTACGCGTTTAATATCAATGAAAAATGGGCATTTTTAATCGGAGGGTAAATATCTAAATAATTACATAATCATATGGTATTTTATATTACCTGAGACAGTAGTTTCTCAAAGCTCACGTATATAGTAAACAAATCCGAAACCTACGTAGAAAATTTGCTAATCTACCGACACCAAAAAAGAACATGGGCGCCCACAGGGGAGGGCAGGCTTACCTCCTCCTGCCCCCTGAGAATCTGGACCCTAAAATTTGTATATTTAGCATGTTTTGTGTATATTTTGGGCGAATTCAAGCTTTGAGACAGATACATGTTCATACTCTCTAAATAATAGTCTCTCCGCTATATTTAATTTACGTGTCCTAAAAAATTCCTGCGGGCGTCCATGAAAAAGTAATCTACATAAATAATGCATTACAAAAAACTGTTAAAATTACTAACAGAAAACCTTAAAGTCAGGTAAGCTTCTGTCCAAATGATTTAAACACAAAGCTGATGAGATTAGCACATAATACAGGAATATTAATTACAAAAGGATGCATACAACATTAGTTTACGTAACAACTAATAGGAAGCATTTTCAAAAATGAGTCTTGATATGAAAATCTCTACATGCATGTGCCACAGCGATTTTGATACTCCACTTCAACCTATATAGATGATATTTTTCAAATTTAGAACCAACGTTGTGGATGTTTCATCAGATGGCTAACATACAATACCAATTAGTTGTTATTTAATTTCCCTCGTTTTTGTTAACCTTAAGGCGGGTTTCGCAGGGCATTCAATTTGGCAACGATTTGAATTTCAAAATGACAATTCCTATTTGATATTAAATCAAATCGCGCAACCTCATGTGTAAGATCCCTAAAGCTTATAAGCTTTTTACATGCGAAAAGTGTGATTTATCACTAAAGGAAACTGACGTTCTTCGCAAACCCTGTAAGGTTCGTAGTTCCTACGCAGGAGTTTAAAATCAAAAGAGAACTGTCACTTTGAATTTCAATTCAACTTTTTTTCTAATCTCAATACCCTGTGAAACCTGCATTACGAGGGCAGTCCGATAAATACTTAGCCTCACCGTCCGATGGTGCCACTATCTCAAGAGTAGTAGATTGTCGTAGACGGCTACGGTCAAAATTTCAGCTAAATCGGAATCATAGTTTTTTTTGACCATGTGGGAAGGCGGGCGTGTCCGCAGGTTTTAGAAAAATGGAAAAAGACCAATATCGGTCGGTGATTCGATTCTTGTTTTTGCAAGGAAAATCGCGCAGCGAAATCAAAGAGCGCTTGGATGCCATATGCGGTGACCCTCCTTCGATGGTGAACGTTAAAAATTGCTACCACGGAAGATAACGTGACAAAAATCCACGATTGGAGGTGCACGAAATAGCCGAGGCAATAGGCATCTCAAAGGACTCCGGACAAGCGCATCGGTGAGACGATTTCAGAGCAGTGTTGGACGCTGTTTAAACGCAATCCGAAAGAGTTTCTGCGTCGTTTCATGACCGTCGACGAAACATGGATCCACTGGTACACACCAGAGACCACGGAACAGTCGAAACAGTGGACTTCACCCGGCAAACGTGCTTCGAACAAGGCGAAGATTGTCCTATTGGTCGGATACGTGATGGTCACCGTTTTCTGGTATACACAAGGTGTGATCTACATAGACTACCTGGAGAAGGGCAAAACGGTCCCAGAGCAAATTATTGGGCCAATTCAAAGCCGAATTGCAGAAAAACGGTCCCAAATTGATCGAATTAGACTACAAACTGCTGTACTACCGTATTCTCCAGATTTGGACCCGTGCGACTTCTTATTGTTTTTCAACATGATAAAATCACTCACCGGTCAGAAATTTGAGTCGAATGAGGAGGTTATCGCCGCCACGGAGGCCTACTTTGCAGACCTCCAGAAAACGTATTTTTCAGACGGGTTAAAGAAGTTGAAGCATCGCTGGAATGAGTGTATCGAGCTAAAATGAGGCTATGGTGAGAAACAAATCGCAACTTTTCCAAAATTTTCATTTATCGTTTTAGTATTTGTCGGAGCGCCCTCGTAAATAGGCATATGTTTGTTACTGTCCTTGCAATTAAACATTTCGTTAAAATGCGAGGCATGACTTAAGTATTTGCGCGAGTCACGCTGCATTAGATAATTAGTATAAAGTTCTAAAATCGAATTTCGACAAATTATATTCAAAAACCATTTGACTTACAGCTACTGTGGATCCATTCTTGCCAACTCCGCCAGTGAAAATCACACTCAAGTTACTGTATAAGCAATACAGTCCACAAAGAAACGTCGATATCGGAATAAAGTACCACAATTCAAACGAGTCGCTGAAAAGCTATAGATCAAAGTATGTTACGGATTATTCACGTCAGGTTTATCGATCCTGAAACTGTCATACCTATTTTTGAATTTTGTAGAACAACACATCAATACAAGCTGATGATTCGTTTTTGTTTTCTGCCGATTCCTTCACTCATAAAAACAAAATTGTGCACTTAAATTCAACCCTTTAAAATATAATCAATCCCAACACTGACTGAAGTATTCTCTAAAAAGATGCTCAACCGTGTGCTGTATTTGGACGTTCACATACAATTTCCATCGTCTCAGCCAAGTTGTTAAGTACGATTGCCACACTTCCGTTAGAATAAAATAATAAAAAAACATGCCCCATTTTGCTTGAAAGTTTTCGTATTCATATTAGGAATTCGATTGAGCTGCAGATTCCAGCATAGAGATTGTCAAGAACAGAAGTCAGCCCTAATGAAATGGGTATTAGGCAATATATCACCAAACACTTGTCAATGCCATTATTTAGGCATAAAGTTAAAGCTCTATTAAAACACAAAGGAATGAATATCCAGCTAGACCATCAATATGGTTAATTTGGGAATACTATTTCATCTGTAATTTCTGTATTAGTCCTATATTCTTTTTACACTTTTATTCGTGATTTTTTTGTTTATATATTTTAACTCGGCCAATTCTTGTTTTAATCTATAGCTACTATGTTGTATTTCAATGTCTATTATATTTATGACGCTCATATATTTCA